AGTAACCCATAGCACTGGCTGTGATCGCCCTTTGTCGGTCGTAAAAGAGCCTACAGAGGACCACTTGTCTTTTCTTTCTCTTCGCCTCAGTTGGGAGTCGGTCGGGTCGCGTGATTGCGTGTGAATCGTTAGCTGGCCAGCCTTCGCGTCTAAGTCATTAGCGCGCGTCTATCGTACCCCCTCTCGTGTGCGTCCGTTTTCGAGGCCTCAGCGTCTATACGAACAAGTGTGGCTAAGATCGTTCCCACGCTCGTTCAATTTTCCGTGTCACCGGCTAAGCTAGCGTCATCGTAGTCGTGCTCCAACCGTGCGAGCGACAATCTTGTCACGCAATTACCTCAAGAGGCGGCTTTCCCCCAATTATAACAGTTCTGTTAATAGAATTGTATTGGGAATGGAAGAGTATTTGGATGTGGTTGACACAAAGTGGACCTTGACGATTTCTTTCGATCGGGTTGCTTTACTTGCAGTAAGGTACTTGATTCCGGTCTTAAAGCCTGTGCATATAGAACAAGTTAGTTAACTTTACAGTGCCGAATCTTACTCCCTTCTACCTGAAGATCACAGGAACCTTTTGCCATAGTTCGCATCGCTCATCACAGCTGGCATGATCGCTACTGAGTGCACCAACAATCATCTCTATTCTCTCTGCTGTATCTGTGATGGCTTAAGGTTTGATGTGGCTACTGCTAACCTGGCAGCGGGAAATGCCGTTGCTGGTTTCTGTACTGCATGATGTTCATCCATTTGTGTTGTTATGCACACGATTCACTCCGCGCTTTTTCCGTTACAATGCGTGATAAGCCTTGCGACCGGCTTTAGTGTCGCGCACGCTGTCTTTACATTTTCGAACTACCTATATAACATGCGTTGTTTGTGGCTGAAGTTCATTATGACGCGTAGCAGTGGTCGAGACATGGAAGCTTTCTCGCCGATACCGACAACCAACCATTTTCCATCGTTAATCTTCAGCTGCACAATGTTCCCCTTTCTATCCTCTCACTACTGACAAATAGTAATTGGAGCTTGATAGTGTGGTTGATAAATCCTACTGCTGCTCACTGATACACAAATGTTAGGAGGAGGTTCCCTTAGGGAATGGATCAGTGAACCCTACATCGAACTTTGATGAAGCATAACATATGTGCTTACTTTTTTGGTCGTGATGAGTGATTGATCCGTGAATCACAATCTATTGCTTACTACGCATGGAGCTAATGGTAATGTAAGCGATAGACATAATCCACAGCACTTATCATTAACTTGTGGACTATATTCCTCGTAGTATTCTTGATTGACCGATTCGAATGTGCGATCTGATTGTTTTTACATAATCTGTGGATGGTTTTGTTTTTATCACATTGATTTGAGACTAGCCTTTTATGTTCATTCCTGCACATTTTCACAGAAAGCCTACGACAGGAATTGGAAAGCCAAACGAGAAGCAGCTAAGCGACACGAAGCGTTGGATGAAGCACGTCGACGGTTGAAGGAAAGTGAGTGTACACCTTTTCTGTCACGAGAAAAGAAGTGTTAATGCAGCCGATAGAATGCTGATACGTTTATCATTTTTGCGAACCATTCGATCGACAACCGGGCTCTCTGGCTTCACTAATGGTTGGGTACCGGGATCTTTCGGTTGTCCTAACCACGCGGTAGATGATGTTGAAGGAATGTCACTGCAGTCGGACTTGACTGTCAACCTCTAATCTTCCTCCTACATCAGAACCAGCCGTTCGTTTATTGAGTTGCTTCATATCTTTAGTACCTTTCCTTTGTTGGACAGCGTAACCTCCTATAGCTGTCTGCTGTCTTACTGTTCCTCCGATAACTCTTCATGTGGACTATCCCTGTCTATTTCCACTGTTCTTTGTTACTATAATTGCTAGTCCTCTTCACCTGACTAGATTGTCTGATGGTTCTAGCGATCACCCGATCGCAAGCTAGCCAATTCGATGCTTTCTCCCCGCCCCGATTAAACAGGTTCGATCAATTGGCGTTCTTTTTCCGTTGTATTCTGTCTCAAATCTGTGGCTACTTTTCAAGAACACAAGGTCTCATACAGTTACCACGTTTTACGCCGTCCCTTAACTTGATACCATCAGCTGATTGGCATTTACTTATTCATATGCTTGAGACCTTTATGAAGTTTGTACTTTTTGTGTTCGACTTTGGTTGTACCCGTCTTCATCTATGTTCGTAAATGAAACAGGATGTCGCTCTCAACTGCCGTGCAGGAAATCCGCGTTGGCCTTATCGTGATTTCATTGTGTTCCACAGTTACTGTCGCGAGTCTTCCTGATTTATCTCTCTTGCAAATTGCGTTATAGAGCTCGAAATTCAAGAACGAAAGGCCCGTGCAGAAAGAGATCAACAGCGGAAGCGGACAGCTGCAGTGGCGGTTGCTGATCAGCTGCGTCGCGATTGGCAACGTCAGTCTGAGCAAGCCGAACTAGAGGCACAGCTGCTTCGCAAGCGGTCTCTGCTTGAACAGGAACGCGCTTTTGCTGCGGCATCCGAATGGAGCCGTGACGGTGATCACGGTACATTGGTCAAGGTGGTCAAAATTTTGCTATTGATTGTTCTTGTATATCAATTATGACTTGGGAATTGTAAAAGCCATTCCTGCTTATTTAGTCGCTTTGTAGCATTGCTTCAATCCCTCCTCAAACTCATGCTGTTGATAGCGTCAGTTGTACACACAGTTGTGCCAAATCACTGGTTGTCTTCCGCTAAAGGCTTCTTAGTGCTTATGAATTCGAACTGATCTGATATTACCCGCTCACTAGCCGCGACTCCGCATACCTTTACATACACTCCGCTTTAGGGAATACCAATTCAGCATCTCACTTAGTTAAGGGAAATATTGCGAATACCTGTGGTTCGGGATGGGGATACGAATGTTGAATTGTTCCTCGAGCTGGTTGATTCGATTGGAGGCGTTACATTACTTCGCCGGTAGCGATGCTTTTACAACCAACTCTCCCGGTGGTGGTTTAACTGAACGGTCCGTAACCCAGTTGTGTTATCTGGAAATGGGTGATACGCAAAACGAGCGTGTCATGTCATTGCAATCTGGTAAACTGGCAAATCAATTTTGAGGAAACTGTAAGTTGCAGACTCATGTTTCCTTTTAAAAATAATAATGATAGTAACGAACAGTGGTGTATGTATTCCCCGTGCTCCTGGTTTCCCGCGCTGCATTCAGCAACAAGTTCCGATCTGGCACTCTCTCCAAGTAGGGATTGCTTTACGGAATCCAAGCGCAGGAATATTAATTCAGCTCACCGTAAACTCTTAACCATTGCACGTATCTTCGCTGATCAATCCGATACTCGATTTACTGCCTGAACTGGGATCGCATGTTGCATTCTTAAGGTGCGTGCATTGCAACTCAGTCTTGAGCTCTTCATGAGACAGCACTGCTTCGGTGGTCTAGTTTCCTTGGGATGCGCCCTTCCCTGTGCAGCGCCAACACGAGAATATTCGAACACCACGCTGAAGGCCAAGTAATAAAAATAATGTGTCAGCTGTACGGCGTAACGGCGCTTCGCTGCCACGCAACCATCACTAGTCTCGCGTTGGCTAAGTATACCGCGTGGACGCCCATCCCTACGAGGATTCGAACCGATGACCTTATGATTACAAACCAGGCGTGCATACCACTCGGCCACTTGCCGAGACGCAAGCACAATTTTCAGACGCTATTATGCATGTTGCTGCTTTTATTTTCACTGGAATATGTTTGGTCAAGTTCGCCACCATCGGTTGTCCCTGGGAGAGTTCGACTCGTTCTTTAAACACATCGACTCGTTCATTAAGTTATCATCTCTCGACTATCCGATACGCGGTACGTTTAACAGTCCGCTGCACACGGTTCACGCGGAAAGCTTTGGGTTAAAATGGTATCCTATTTATGCCCGCATAAGTTTCGAAACAGTTGGCCGATTGATATTCACTATTTTTATGGCTAAACCCAATAAATTATAACAAACATGTGCTCTTTACTCACAATATCTTCTCCGGTACTCTCACGACCTGTGGTAAAACCACTGTATGGTAGTAGTACATCACTGGGAATCTTAGCTAATCCTTGACCCAACTACATGGTCTGATATACTGAGGGCCATTCTCTCGACCGCTACACCAGTTAATATCCGGCAAAGTGGAGCCAGTACTTTTAGTGGCATAGTCCAAAATACCTTGCATTTTTCAGAGCGAATCCTAGGCCTCAGTTGCCTTCTATTTGACTTAGAATTCCAGTGTTTCTTGCTCCAAGCATCAAAACTGCCTGTTTGTAATGAGATCCCAGTGATTTTGATGACCGAGGCTTACTTCAGTGCAAACCGTGGTCCCGACTGTGATTGCGTATCGCCATAGAAACACACGGTGAATACTCCGAAGCCCAATGATAAAAGCGTTTCGACTCTTTTGATTTACATTAGGAAACAAGGAATCGGTGGCTTCTCGACACGAGTGTACTTGTCTATTCTGTCACTACCCTGACAAACGTATTCTAAGTGGTATATGTAACTTTTTCGAGGTTAGAGTTGATACATTTTCTTTCAGCGTAAATCGCAGTCCATCCTGTACAGAATGCGCCATTCACAAATACCTGGTTCATCTACAAATATCATATCGATGTCGCGGACGTCGCTTGTGAACTGGACCGGTTACAAGCATTCTGATGTGGCTTTGCTGCAGCCAATAATTACAGCCTCAACTATGCCTCCTACCTGATAAGTTCAAACTGTGGCGCTTGTACTTGTACAACAAGTATGTTAGGAGTGAGCAGCAGAAGCTTGCTTCCTGGTCGCAGGTCGGATGAATGTGTCACCTGCCCGTGATCCAAAGATCACCGGTTCGAATTTGCGTAGACGCGAGTGACCTCGCATTTTACTCTGCCCACGCTTGACTGGTGGGGAACGCGTGGAAGCGAAGCGTGGGTACAGCAGGTCGGCTTACTGCTGATTCCTTCCCTATTTTCTGCTTGCATCCATTTTGTGTATGATGTCGGTCCCCCTAAAATGTTCAGAAGCCATATTGTTCCACTTTCGTTTTGTTGTTCTAGATCAAGTGGTCCTTATCGGAGAATCCTCAAGCCGCGTCATGCTACACCAAAGAGTTTCTGACCACCTGTCTTTCAGAAGTAAGTTCTCCTGCTTTTTATTACACCATATCCGTTTTGACTCAAGCTGCAGTCCCGGTCACTGTTTATTTAGTTACGCACACTGTCTGTCCTCCGGCTTTTCAATACGCGTATACGCACCGAACCCGCCATACGCGTCGCTTCGTTTGCTTCATAACAGTTCACAGCTCTGACTTTGGTATTCCCTGTAGAACGTAGCCTTACGGATCACACTGTAATCCGAGGGTGCCTGTTCAAACTTACGTGGGGACTGGGCGACTCGCAGTATCTTTAGCCCACGTGCGACTGGTGGTGGTTGCCCGATAGCAAAGCGTCGGTACTGCGTACCGGTGTACTGCTGATGCGTTTTCCCCTTAATGGGCTGCACAGCTGTTCTATGCTCTTTAATCGGAGGTCACCAAACTCCGGCCCGCCGACGGTATCTGAATTCGCTTCATAATGCGGATGGAACACGAGTACTTGTGATACAATCTGTATTTCTTGCTGCACTTGGTATTTTCAGTGGCCTTACACTGAACGCTAGCGTGAGTTACCTCATGGTTCCTACCTTTGACGCCATATCATCACACTACCGATGACCCCACATCTTTGGAACACCGATGAGTGTGGTCGCGCTTGTAATTCATTCATCCATGCACCCAACCACACCACGCGGTGTTGCAATTTTCCGTTGATCAGCTTCCCTGCTGCGCATGTCATACAAAACACCGTGTAATTAAGATGTGTCATTTTGAATTCATAGTTGTCGGCCATCTGAAATGGATTGCAAATTGTGGATACGGAATGGTGCCGGAAGCGCAAATTATAGAGGTTCACACATTTTGGCATTGCTACTTGCTTGTATGTAATACCATATCCACTTCCACCCTTGTTAGTTGATTTAGGAATTTGATGAGCCTTAATTATACCAAACGCCCATTGTCCCCTGTTTTTCTCATTTATCAATGGGTTCTCTATTCTATGTGGAATTCGATATATTTTCCTTCTTTTAACCCCCTTGACCTCGCCCTTCATTATGACTACTAAGAGAATTGGATGCCGTGTCGTGTTATAATTTGCACCTGTCGTACAGAATGATTATGTGACCCGCGCTAATCATTTTGTCAGTCATCTGACTCGCTGAGTAATATGTTTACGGATTCTTCATCGGTATAATTCGTTTCAGTGGAATGGTCAACCTGCTTGAGTCATTTGTTAGGCGGCGATATTTATGCGTTTCTCGACACAGTAAGTTGAATCGTTCATCAGCATCATATTTTCCATTACAGTATGGAGAAGTTTTGACTCTGGTTCTCGGGAAGCGTGGAACTGCAGTCGGTGATTTCCGTTGCAGTGTGGACGCGGTGAGTCATGTCGCGTTTTCCTTCATTCTTTTTCTCTGCATAATGTATGAGCACTTGTTCCGTTTTCTCCCACCTGTACGTAACTTGAAATTCTGTGCGGGTCCTATTACAGTCTGGTACCACTTCCATTGTCGCCACATTGGTTGTTTCGCTATAATAAATACGTCAACTGTTGCTATACATACATATAAACAATCTCCGAGGAGTGCAGCTCGGGATACCAGTGCTATGTACATTAGATAGTCTGGCGCTCACTACACAAGATGCGGGGAGCGCGCTTCGGCAATAGTTTACTCTCACTTTCCAAAGTGAAGCGTCGCCTCACTCGTTCATGACAAATCTCACTCCGCACGCAGAAATAAGCCACGTATGCTTCACCGTTGCAAATATGATGAAAAGGCTACTGACATTGCGCCTGCACAGCGTCCCTGGTGTGGACAATACCAGACCGAAGGCATTTAAAACAGTCGCCATGAACCTTGTCGAATTGTTAGCTCGGTTCTTCCAACAAAGCCTTGAGGAAATGCAAGTTCCGACCACAGGGAAACAGGGATTAGTTACTCCTATCTTTAATAGTGTTATCCAACGTTATGGAAGGTATAATCGTAGGAGCGCTCGTGAGATGCCTTTAGATCAACAACCTCAGTGTCACAGCGGCATATATTCCGCCGAAATCCATCCTGCATCACTATCTTGTTACTAGTATGTGTAAGCTGGACGAAGTCAACCGATGGCAGACAAGGGATTGATGTCGTGTACCTAGACTTCTCTAAAGCATTTGATTGGCTGGACCACCGAATTCTTCTTCAAAAACTTCGAAGCTATGTAGTCGGTGCATCTGTTCCAGGTTGGATATAAGCAACTTCCTCATTCTACGTCAGCTGAATGTGTGTCCGCAGATCCATCTCCGACCCAATTGAAGTCGATTGTGGTGTACCCCAAGGATTGGTATTGGACCAACGTCTGTCCCTAGTATTCACCAACGATCTCGCTAGGATGCGTGAGCCAGACTTCTACCTATTTGCATACGACATCAAGATCTGGCAGAAAATCAAGACATTTTGCGACCATGCGGCACTACGAGGAGATCTCGACAGGTCCTACACATGGTCCTCCGAAAACTGACTCCAGCCTAACCTGGCGAAAGGCAAAGTTCTGTGTATACACTATCGGTGTATTCACGAATACTGACCGGAAGAGCAGCTGTTGCAACATGCTACGCAGGGAAGCGTGCTCGGAGTACTTGTGCAAGACGACCTTCGCTGCTCGAAACGGGCCGAAATGGTATCGAGAAGAGTCAGTCAGCATCTTGGCCTCCTACGAAAGTTGTTTGGGAAGTTCGGGCCATCAATCCTTCAACAAATGCTGAATGTCTACTTGAAGCCCCACGTGGAGTACGCGATCCAGGCCTGACGCCTTTGGCGCAAACACGCTGCTGCGCTTGAAGCTCCACAACGTGGGGCGACGGAACTCGTTAGAGGCCTGTTTCACCTCTCCTAATGGGAAATGGCCATGTTTCCCAAGAACTACACTAGAATCAGCCAAAACTATGGAATCTTTACTAGCCGCCACTTTTTGATTTTTAAACGGTGCCCGCTATCTGTTTCCGCGTCAAGCGAGCATTGTGATTGGCTGATTTGACAAGGCCGTTGAATGAGCTAAATCAATCATGTGTTTTCATCACTGTCTGGTCTGTCTCGTGCTGGCGTATGACTAGATCTGTTGCCTGAAGTCTTGCCTTCTTTTTCCGGTGTTGGGGCTATTGACTGGTGCCGGGTTTGCGATTCCGTGCCGTGATTTCGTTGTGAGTATTCAGTCGTTCCGTGCTTCTTTGTTCCGAATTGCGTTAGTGGTGGTAGGATCGCAACAACCTGCTGACAGGCCCTGCTTTATCAATGAGCATCGACAGTGGTGATATAAAGCTGAACCTTGCAGCAGCAGATGAGGCTGATGTAGTTGATTACTGAACGCCTTGCCGCGTCATCGCTAGGACAGTCTAGGCAATCCCTCATCGCTGAGTCTAATGAACAAGCTGTTGACATTACCACCGAGTTTTTGCTCGATCCTGTGGCCAACGTAACATTTGATCCTTGGTTCAAACGATATGAAGACTTATTCCGCGTTGAGTTTTCCCATCGTGACGATGCATGGAAATTTCGACTTCTCTTCCACAAACTCGGTCCCGCTGCACACGAAAAATACTCCTACCACAGTATCAACGTGATTGGTCATTCAACGAAACGGTGCAGATACTTACACACATATTCGGTGAGCAATCATCACCTTTCAGTATTCGTCACCAGTGTCTCAAACTGGTGAAACGTGACGCAGACGATTTCGGCACTTATGTCGGTGTGGTTAATCAGTAATGCGAGCGTCTAAAGCTACACTCTCTCACAGACGACCAATTTAAGTGCCTCGTGTTCATATGCGGCCTTCAATCGCCAGACGATTCCGATATACGCACGCGACTTTTGAGCAAAGTTGAGCAGGATCCCCAGATGACGTTACAAACTGTCGCTACTGAATGCCAGCACCTCATACCTCTGAAGCATGCTACGACCATGATCCAGAATCCTGACCGCTTTCTCAGTTCCATACACTGTGGATGCTCCCAAGCATCCTGTCAGCACCAGTCACCCACCCTATTTCTTCATTAAGAAGACACCTCCATCTCCATGTTGGCGCTGCGGTGAATGGCACTTTGTTCGTTTTTGCTCCTTCAGGCGCCACCGATGTCAGCGATGTGATAAACTTGGCCATATAGATGTAATTTGTCAAACACAGGCCAGTTTCAAGCAGCCCTTGAAACCGAAGCAGGGAGCCGTTCGTTCCCCTAGCCTTCTAGCTACATTCAAATTGGATGTCGCTTTTCGCTGAAAATTTGTTTCTGTAAAGATCAACGGCCATGCCGCCAACCTTCAACTGGACACCGCATCCAACATCACGATAATTTCTGAGGAGCTGTGGAGTTCCATTGGTAGCCAACCCTTGCAAGCTACCTCTCAGGAAGCAGCCAGTGCCTCTGGTGGTTCGGTACGCCTTACCGGACAACTTTCTTACCCCGGTGACACTACAATAAACGATGTTACTTATATTTCGGACTCCAATTTCAACCTCCTTGGATTGACAAGCTGGGTCTTTCTGCTCTCCCACTAAACGCTATCTGCCGCCGACTTCAAGCCCCATCGGCAAAGTCCATTGTCCATGATTTCTTCACGGGTTTTCACGAAGGTCTTGGCTGTTGCACACAGACTCAAGAAACTCTCCGGTTAAAGCATGGTATTGTTCCGTCGTTTGTACCAAATCGAGCTACGCTCCCGTTGGTAGATCAGGAATTACGTCGCGTCGAAGAATTGGGGGTTCTATCTCTATTGTCTTGTTCCCCATGGGCAGCGCCAATTGTAGTTGTTAAAAAGACAAATGGTTCAATTCGCATGTGTGCTGATTTTTCCACCGGATTAAATGCTTATTTGGAAGACCATTGTCATCCACTACCGATTCCTGAGGATATCTTTACTATGCTTAACGGAGGAACTTGATTCGCCTAGCTGGATTTAGCGGACGCTTATCTGCAAGTCGAAGTATCCCCGGAGTCTGGAGAGCTGTTAACCACAAACGTGCATCGCGGTTTGTTTCAGTGCAACCGTCTACCTTTCGGCGTCAAGCCTGCTCCTGCTATTTTTCAACAAATAATGGATTCCATGATCTCAGGTGTAACCGGCGCGGCAGCGTACTTGGATGACATCATTATAATGGGCCGCACCACTGACGAGCTGCACGGAAGGATATCTGAGGTTTTACATCGAATTGAGGAATATGCGTTCCGGCTGCAACTGGACAAATGTCAGTTCTTCCTCTCAGAAATCAGATGTCTTGATTTCATCATCGAGCAAACTGGCCGCCATCTTGACTCTGAAAATGTGCGTGTAATTCAGGAAATGCCCCAATGTTCCTCGGGCTAGTGACTCACTACGGCACGTTCTTACCCGCTCTCCATAATGCCAGAACACCATTGAATAAACTGCTTAACATAGGCAGTGTTTGGTCATTCTCACCAGAATTTGAACGCGCATACAGCCGCCTAAAAGCAATGTTAGGTTCAGATATCCTCCTAACACATTTCGATCCTAAACTACCGGTCGTAGTCGTGGCAGATGCCTCCGGCTATGGCGTCAGTGCCGTCATCTCCCATGTACCTCCAAATGGATCGGAGAAGGCGATCATGCATGCTTCTCGAGCCTTTACACCAGCCGAGAAGACTTATGCTCAAGTAGAAAAGGAGGCTTTGGCACTAGTGTTTGCCATGAGAAAGTTTCATAACGTGGTCTATGGTCGCCACTTCAGCTTACTGACCGATCATAAGCCGTTACTCGCTAACTTCGACTCTGTTAAGGGTATCCCGACATATTCCGCCAGCAGATTGCAGCGTTCGGCAACTTTTTTTAATTAAGCTATAACTTCGACGTCTGTTACCGGCAAGTGCAAGATTTCGATCATGCTGACGCCTTGTCCTGGTTAATTAGTGCAAATTGACAGAAGCATGAAGATACCATTATCGCAGCAGTCTTCATGGAATCGGAAGTATTTTAGCACCTGGCTGACGCTGTTCGTGCGGTTTCGGTCACTCTCCGTGACACGAGCATCGATCCTATCCTCCAGGAAGCAATTAATCGTGTTCGCAACCGATGGTTCACGAGAGCACCAACTGGAGACGTACCACAGCTTTATCTCCGCCGAGCAAGCTTGTCCATAGTTGCTCCCTGTTTAATGTTCGCAGATCGCATTGTCATCCCCTGTTCGCTTCACCGATCGTTTTAGGTCAGTTTAACGCAAGGCATGCTGGTGCAGTACGAATGAAAGCCATCGTCCGAAGCTGCGTCTATTGGTCGGTTATCGACCAGCAGATAAAGACGTTGGTTCAGCAGTGTCCCCGCTGCGGACAGGCCGCTAAGAACTCTCCACGTGTTGCCCCACAACCGTGGACCCCATCTGATAAGCCGTGGTCTCGTCTACATGTCGACTTTGCTGTCCCAATCAATGGCATTATGTATCTTATGGTAATCGACGCAGCGTCCAAGTGGCCTGAAATCATTCTTGTCTGACACAACAACATCGTGCACCGTCTCTGCTCTTCTCAAAATTTTCAGTCAGCATGGGTTTGCAGATAGTTTGGTTTTAGCTAACGTAACCCACTTTATGTTGGCACTTTTCGAGGATTTCTGCCCTTGAACTGTTATTAACCACGTTCGCACCCCACCGTACCACCTTTAATCAAACGGTTTGTGGACTCTTTAAACGGGCTTTCTTGCAAATGCGAGGGGAGGGAAGTTTTGATGAAAAGGATTTCCTCATGCTTTACAAGGACACTCCAAATCCGGCAACACCAGATGGATCCTCCTCTGCTGAATGCCTTATGGGCAGGAAACCACACACCAGCTTCGACGCAATGTTGCCGTCGGAGAAATCATCATCTGCCCCAGTGCATCCATCAGGGAAAACGTTCTCAATGAGTGACTTTGTCTACGCTCTTGATTACAGGCAAGGTCATGGAGCATGAGTCCCAGTAGTGGTAGTTGTTCGCCGTGGTTCCTTAGCGTATGAAGTAACGGTTGGATCGCGCAAGTGGGTACGACACAAAAATCAACTTCACCCACGCCATGACGACCTCACAGCCACTGAGGAAGAATTGCCATTCGAAATATACTGCTAGACACGTTCGGGCTCATTCCTAACCTATTGATAGAGGCACCAAATGCACCACCTGAATGGGTCTCCTTGCAACCCAGAAGATGGACCGACCGGAAGCGCCGTCCAACAATGTCATTGGAACTGGATCCCTGGCGTCCTAGATAGGAGATTTCTTAAAAGGAAAGGTGTTTGGAATGGCCATATTTCTCAAGAACTACACTATGATGAATCGAAGCTATAGTTTTTTCGCTAACTGCCACTTTTTGATTTTTAAACGGCGCACGCCATCTGTTTCCGCTTCAAACGAGCATTGTGATTGGCTGATTTGACAATTCCGTTGAATGAACTAAACCAATCATGAGTTTTCGTCACTGTCTGGTCTGTCTTGTGCTGGCGTATGACTAGATCTGTTGCTTGAAGTCTTGCCTTCTTTTTCCGGTGTTGGGGCTATTGACTGGTGCCGGATTTGTGATTCTCTGCCGTGGTTTCCTTGTGATTGTCCAGTTTTTCTGTGCTTGTTTGTTCCAAATTGCCTTAGTCATCATACCATCGGAACACCTACCAACGCAGATTACAAGCCCTAGACTTTTTTGCGGCGAATACCTTCGCCTACGAGTGGACTTTATTATGGTGTACCAAGTACTGACTAACCCCAATCGTATCTGCCGCGATCTTATGCAAGTCAGCCAAAATACCAGCAGCTCAAACTGACCGCACACCACAGTCGACTTGATTCCTGACGAAACTTCTTCTTCCTTCGGGTATCCAGAACGTGGAACGGTCTTCTTTCTCACGTCATTTTCGTCCCCATATTAATGCTTTTGTTAAACGATCAGACATAAATTGTTTCCATCGAAAGACGAATTAACGCATTGTGCAGATGCTTGCGCATTGCTGCTGAAGCCATTTATAGATTTATATATATCCTTACGATTCCTTTCTCAATAGAAAGGACTTACACGCCGGTGTACCGGATTTCCTTCATGGTTGTGAATCTCCCCCCCGTCCTATTTGACGATTTCAATTACCCTCAGATGTTTGACTAGCATTCCGTACAGTGTTGCTCGTATCGTGTGATCCCGACATATCTACAACAGTGGGATGCGCATCCCATTGATAGGATCTGATAGTCAAGCACCGTGACGGAGTCAGTTACGTTGGCTGCGACTGCTGGCTCATCGCTGTTTTGTTTTCCTAGTCTGAACCCTCTTCCCTCCAAACAGTAATGGTGTGCCCGGCAGTGACACCGATGGCGTGCTCCTTGTCGACTTACAACCGGATCAGCAGTTAGAAGTGCTGTCGGTGCCGCGTTATCTGCTAGGAAATTAATGAAAGTCGCGCAGATGTTGTATCGCATGGGAGCGAGATGTCAGCTTGGGTGATTTTACCATGAAAGTGTGCTAGACTTATTAAACTTAACATTTCATCTCCTGCAGCTGCGTGGTGTGGAAGCATCAGCGCGGAGTGTTGGTGAACGTTTCTTGACGCTTTTCTGTTGTTTAACGCCGGCCGTTCCGCTTAACTTGGTGCGGGTGCCACTACATTACGTGTTCGTTGATGTTTGATGACAAATTCCTAGCTCCTGTACAGCAGACCACGGCCTTAAGGATCACAAGCCTGCCTTGTAATCCGAGGGCACGGGTTCGAGCCAGCGTAGGGACCGGGTGACGCTCGGAGTATCCTTAGCCCACGTGCGACTTGTGGTGGATACGCAGCGGCGAGGCGTCGGTTATGCGTACCGTTGTATTGTTGATGCCTTTCACGGACACTAGCGTTCTGTCTCCAATTCCTCGCCTCTCACGACCAGTTTGGGTAGCGCGTTGATTCTGTTGGTTGCTGTGGTGATGATCCAGTGTCATTGACTCTGGTAGGATGCATCTACTCGCTGTGAGCGATTACGCACCTTAGTGAATTCGAAGACATGGACCTAAACCGTTGTGCACCTGTTTCGCTCACTCGGAATTCCGTATCCAGCGTTTTACAGACGGTAGATTTAGAGACGTTTTCTTGTGGAATTATTCTTATGAACGTAAGTACACGGATGCGGTACCTTGATTCCATTTTTGATATATGTGTATTTTTGTTCTCCAGACTCGCGCCGTCGAAGCCTCCAAACGCGGAGCGCTTGGTCTGCCGACACTCCCACTCAGCCTCTCCATTATTCAGCATTCTACTGATTCAACACCTGGCGCTGAGCCTACTGTACACGAAGAAGCACCCACGACATCGATGACTAGTCCCGTCAGAAATGCACACAATGACGACTTTACTGTCAAACAGGTGCGTGCTCTTGTGTTTATACAGTCAGATTGAGTTTTCTGTATTATTCCACTACCTGCGGCTAGTGGCCGAACAGATTAAGCGCTTTGTAAACCGGAGGTCGCCGGTTCGAATCCGCGTAGGGCCGAGTGACCTCCCGGTATACACAGCCCACTTGGTGTGCCGGTGCACTGCTAATGCCTTACTTCCTGCGTCCGGCCGTCTCGACGAGACTGCACATTAACGTGGCGTGACTGCTTGTGAACCTCGTCGACTAACTGAGCTATAGTAATAATTATAGGTAAATTTTTTCATCAAAAGAGTAGCTGCGTCCATATTTGGCACCAATCATATTTGGACAGGTACTATCATGCTTTTGCACGGGCAATAAGCAGCTGTGTGCTTTTCTTTGTCTGTGTTTTGAGCAACTTACATGTTTGCGTTTTAGGTCTGATATTGTAGAGGACCGTTTACATTATGTGGAATTCCCCAATTTCACTTATTTATTTCTAGAAGGGCCGCCCAACACGTGGCCTGCCTTGCAATCCGGAAGTAGCGGACTCGAGCCTGTGTCGGGCACCGGACGACATTCGCAGTATCCTTAACCCACGCACGATTGGTGGTTGCCTGGTAGCGAAGCGTCAGCACCATATACCGGCGTACCGCTGATGCCTTTTTATTTGAACCCTCGTTAAATAGATCGTGGTGTCCGCGAGCACTTTGCGGGTTACCCTTACCAGGTTGGTCATTGGTTAAAGATCAGATACATTCACTTTCCTAGACCTTCACATGGGGTTGATAATGTGATGGCGTCCATTTATGTACAACCAGATCGCTGCCTTGCGGACAGGCCTTTGAGCCAATGGCTTTTGTTGAGGACCCTAACCGTTCTCTTTTCTAGGTATGAGCGCCCTGGCAATATCTCAGCATCCGTACAACCGTAACTACTTCCTCAAACTTCAACCACATCCTGTATGGGCCGTCGCGCAGCTTTACAAAGATCATATTACCTGTCGCATACAGCAGGGCAGATAAACAAAAATATGTTACTGCTGGCGCCTCCACTTCTTCTTTTCCACCTGTTTATTTTACCCTCCTCCAGACCCCCATTACTGACCTTCCATAATCCCAGCTCAATTAATAGCAGCCGCACTGCCACTGCAGTTTTACCATCTGCAGCAACCATCTCAAATGACCCACTGGACGCCCATCGGCAAAAGCTCCTCATAACTCCACGCCGTCCCGTTTCCCTGACGGCGTTCAACGTTCGCACCTTGGGACAAATAGCTCAACAAGCTGCACTCGCATGAACCTTGGACACCCTGATTATTGATGTATGTTGTGTGTCCAAAACTAGGATCAATGCCCCTCACGGAGTTGTTGAAGTAACTGCACCCGGCTTGTCCTCCCGCTATTGATTGCATACATCCCGAGACGTTGGTTCAGCAACCACTGGTCAAGCCGGGTTGGACATCATTCTTGCCTCCAAAGCTGTTATCGTTGGTTTATTGGATTCCCTTAAGTAGCGTTTTATGTGCAGCCTGTTTGGCGATATCAACTAAGGCTAATTCACAACCGACTGCAGCTCGGATGCTGCCAAGGATACCTACTACCACAAATTAAACACACTGTTTCGCAGTGTTGCCATTTCAGATATTGTTGTTGCTGAGGCTATGAATGCGCAAGTAGTTCCTCTGGGCTCTTCAAAAGCTCAGCTGGGTGGATGTAACTCCGACCCGACGGACATTAGGGAACGTTGGTACACGGAGAATTGGTTGTTTCTTAGTAGCACCGCTTTTAAACACAGTGGACGCCGAAGTGCCACATGGCACTTCGCATAGCTGACCAGCGATGGACCCAACTAGGTCACGTTGCCAAAAATGCCGTGGTTCCGTTATGGATTGCCGCACGTTCTGGAATCTCTGCGTCGATTCTGATAATGCCTTGGTATGCTGTCGCTTTTCCATGAATTTTGTCGGGAGACATGTCAATCCTTTCTTTCGATTGGCAACTGCGAAGTTATCTCAGCCCTCGGATAGGCCAGTCTACCATGATAACCTGTACTCTCGTCCTAGTGACGCAGCTTCATTTGAATCTCATCTGCCACGCATGACGCGGCACTACCAGTCGTCGTCAGTCACTGGATATCCGAAAGGCTGATGAAGCTATCAGAATCGAAAAGAATACTCATTACTGGCTCTGAGCACAATGTGACCAGATTGACTATTAAACGCGAACTAAAGCGGAGCCAGCATGCAGACAAGGAAGCCTGGTGGACCAGTAGGGCTTAAGAATGGAGGCGAGAGCAGTAGGCAAGTTCTTCTAACCGATCCGCAGCAATGGTCTGAGGAGAATGGAGGACACCATGGCGCCTTGGTTCATAATTATGAACATGATCTCGCCCGTGGACAGACACCTTCGAGAGCAGTTTAATCATCCGGCCCATCCTGGACGTTTCATGTTCCGGTCGGGCAAGCCAAACGTCCGGTTAGCCCAGAGGTTCCACCAAAAGGTATGTGCCTGGTCACTGCTTACACAGAAGGGCCTTGATTTGCTTTCTAACAGCAGAATGTTTGAAGAGAACAAAAGTTAATTTGGTAGTGAGAAATCAAGTCAATGATTGTTAAGGAAGCCCGTCCATGGCAGTCCTCGGAGCCGGAAAAGCAGCCCGGTGAAGATTGGCCCCACGCAACCTATATCTGGTTGACTAGCCAATGATATCGTTTTACCTTGAAATCTATCAATGAAGTACTTCAGTGGGCGCACTACTTGAGCAGCGAACAGCAAATTTTCACACATCTAGCAGTTGCTAGAACTCCGGAAATTTCAGCTAGGTTATTCTCTCATGAAGTATTTAACCCCCTATCCTGGCTACGTATACTGTTTATCGGGTGCTCCATACAAGTTTTGCCAAAGACATTTATCTCCTGTTTGGGAAGTGGATGGACCGTATTAGTTATCCGAAAACACGGCACTGATTTAAAAAATTAGGTGCTCTCTGTTCAGCGTCTTCCTGTCGGAGTCCACCTGACCCACCTTATGCTTTGCTAGTTTGGTGTTATCGGCGGCCTAATGACTGATTATGAATAAAAGCCGCAGGTAAACTTTCTCGCCGATGTCACCTTATTTTCGCACAATAGCCAGCTGTTTGTGACGATATGTCGTTTACAAGGTGTAGCGGGCTTGACCTTGAATGTTCGCCTCTTATTCTTCACTGTGATTGTACGGTAGGAAACAGTTCAAACGGCTGATATATTGTTAATGACGATGAACGGAGATGCAACGTTGCATTGCTCCTCAAGGCTTTTGTAGAGTGTGAGACACGTTGGAAGCAAACAACGATATTAAAAGCCTGTTATAATTGTTCGCAACTCATGAATATTTCAGCTTTCATTTGTAACTCGCATAGTTCAGCATCATCGCCACCTTTTCCCACTTCAGAATTCCTCTACCTTTGACTCCTTTGAATCGGACATTTTGGCAAGGATGGCCAATTTCACCGGGTGAAAAGATTCCAGCAAACAACAATCCACGTCCACAGATGTACATACATAAATACAATGTATTATAAGAAAGGATGGTGTTTATTTCTATGGACAATCTGGTCTTCGTTTCGAGTTTAATGCGGCATAGATACACGTGGAGACACCATTGGGGAGTGTCATCCATTAATCCGGAATGTGAGTCAACAAATGATCGCTGATTGCCTGAAATAAAAGAGCAATGCTTTGAATTAGACGGCATAGTTGGCATTAGCTGTGGGTTACTGATAACATCTTGAATACAAGTGCTACTGGCATAAAAAAGCCTCTCAACAAGAGCAACATCCAAGTCTCCCCAAGGTTCGTGATCTCTAATCTCGCTTTGTGTATCTGGTAGGTGAAACAATAGGGCTTCTTCGGCCACTTCATCATCATCTATGTATTCTATCAATTTTGCTAAAGTATCTGGTAGGTGTCGGTAGCTTTTCTAATAATTAGTGGGTCATTCTAATGTAATTATCCCCTCAGACATGTAATCGGTTTACCAATCGTAGAGTACGAAACTGCAATACTCACCTCATTGCAGTTTCACACTCGGAACCGAAACTATCAAAATCTTTCACACATTGTGACATCAATCAGTTTGACAAGCTGTTTTCAGACTTTGTGTATGGCACAGTGTCTTAGAAATTCTCGGGATAAAACCAGTCCACGATTGCATTCGGTGGAAAAAGAGAACTGTGACGACACTATGCCAGTATCAAATATTATTTCGCCGAAGTGATTACTGTACAAGCAGCTACTCGATATGACGAGAGGCGTTTCTCAGGCTGACTGTCCCCATATACAACAGACAGAGTGTATACACACAATTGAGGCTTTTGTTTTATATCCTTGGGTCTATGAGCCCAAAGAAACTGATGTCATAAGTTCTGTGGCATAAAAGGAGTATCGCAGATTACAACCCTCTGTACTTCAAATAAGGGCTTGATGTTCGGTAGGCAAATGCCATTTTAGAAATGAAAGCGTCACGTACACATGAAAGCACGTCCGACGTGGATTTGCTTAAGGTATAGACAAACAGGTGTAACACATTTTAACGCAATCCACTCACCTTTATGCTCTTTGTATCAGCGAACCTGGTTCGACAACGGCCACCACCCCATCGACACACCACAGACTTCTGATTGCCGAAGATGAGGTGAGTATTCATCACGTGGGTGATGAGATCTTTACGATTGCCAAATCCGATCCCGCATGTGTGTCCGAATGGACCATACTGTGTGGGGAAGTGGTAGATACCTTAAGCGGATGTACTGATGTTCATAAAATGAACTGTATGAGAAAACTGTTAACCAGTGGTAAACCATGGATAAAACATGGCATTTCAAAAGATTAGACACCAAGGCCAGAAACGAACTCGGACGCTTACAGAATGATTACCGACTGGGGCTAGCAGGTAAGTACCGAGTGGCTGCTACACGTCACAGGTTCAACAGCCCCATTTACTTATCCTACCAAAGTTGTGTATCAAGTTGGAAAGCCGGTAGCCTGAAGCTAACGAGCTTGTGTTGTAATCTGGCGACGTGGGTACAAGCCTGCGTAAGGGTAGGGCGACCCTCGCAGTATCCTTAGCCCACATGCGACCGGTGATGGTTGCGCGGCAGCGAAGCATCAGTACTGTGTACCGGCGTACTGCTGGTGCCTTTTCGAAAGCACTACAAACTCGATGGGAGTGTACTACACCAACGCATTCGAAGCCCACTAGCATGCGTTGCGAATGAGAAAAGTGGCCTGCTTTACGATCTCCGGGGCACCGCCTAGGCGACATCAATCTGGTTGTCTGTTGAGCACCAATGGCAGTTACGTTCAAGTAATACGAGTCATAGTGTGGGGCATCGTAGGCTTAAATTCACACCTAGGACACCAGTGCCCAAGAAACATGTGCGCCCGGTTTTATAATGCGTCCGTTTGTTAGACGGTTTCGATAGCACGCTGCAACAAAGAGGAGCATGTGTTGGCATTAAATCCATCTAAATGCCCCTAGGAGCGGTCCGCATCGACGCTGAATTGCTCACTGTGAACGGAACAACAAAAAACGGTAGTGAAACTAACATCGAGGAAGCAATTGTGCCCGAATAGTTCCTGATTGATCAGACCAAATACACTCGGTAATTGCGACAAATCACCTTAAAAATATTCAAAAATAGATACTAAACCATCTTGAAAGAGCTTAATTTGAATCCAGGCAACTTCATTGATGAAACTTATCCGGTGCAGTCCATTTTCAAGCAGCATCGCCATATTGCTGCTCCGGAGGCGTGTTGGTCTACAAGCAGTCTTTTTATGATAGTACCACGACGTGGATTTGCTAGCAGCTATTCTGTCTTCGATTCTGTGGCTCAATTAGTCATGAATGACTATTGAATTTGCTTTTGGAGCAAAAGTCTTATCATGTGGGCTACTGATAAATTAGTTCCTGTCAGTCGATGGTGTTCTTCAGGTCGAATCCACCTCCCTCCACCGCTGTTAACTATTGCATAAGATGCACCCAGTTGAGTCGATAAACAAATCGGTAAGGTACACATGGGCCTAGGAATTTGGTGAGATCTATTTAATTCATCGCAATTAAATTACACGCCAGGTAGGCCACCTAACAATCCGGGAAAGCACCAGGCGATAGTTTCGTCCTAGGAAGAATCGCCGGTGGTACGCATTCCTTCGGTCCCCTACTGTGGATCGAACCCATGTCCATTAGTGGCTTGTGTCAGCAGCTTATGTCACTGAGCGATGGGGGACGACAGCTGGCCATCGTGAATTGAAGTCTAACTACGATATAGCCAGACCCATCCTCCACAGTCATGTAGGTCACTGCTCGTGCCCAAAACAGTGGTTGACCCTGAGGCCAGCCGCTGCATTCCACAACTTCGGTGAAGGGTCTCGGCGTACTCTCGCGCTGCGACTTGAAGTTATATGAAAACAGATTGCGCATGCTTGGGGCGCTTAAACGCAGCGTCTGCATTTGGTCTGAAGAGGTTGACACGCGCATCTTTCATCATACGGATCACCCGCCTGTTGTCCAATAATACGTGGCGAGAAGCAAGAATTGGAACGTGTTCAGCATGGGGCCACTGGGCTCATCCCAGGTTTATGAGGTATGTTGTATGAAAACCGATGCAGACGACTAGGGTTATACACTCTGTCATATCGTCAGTTTAGTGTTGAACTCATAATGACGCATCGGATATAGCATCTCGGTCATTTCCCCATGTTGAGGCAACTGTTTCAATTTTGCGTACCAAGCAGCACTCGCGGGCACTGATACAAGGTTGTGGTACCGGACCTAAAGCGGGACAGTCTGTCCGAGAAAATAGTCGAGGCCAAGTCGGTATCGGAATTCGAGAAATTCCTCGACGCCCACTTTGCGGATTTCAGACTCAGGGTGCGCATCGCACCCGAATAGCAGCTTATGGCGCAGCTATAATACACGACAAACCCGCATGAATTAGTGACGTGACTCCGCGCAGTGCCCGAACTAATTACATTGGAGCAACACAGACGCATGTCCACTATTTTAAGTATTCAGGTGTCAGAATCTACATACCAGTAACTGTGAATCCACACATTTTGCAGACTTATGACTAATTTCTGTAATCTAATTGCGATGAACTAGACAAATCTCCGAAATCCCTGTACTCACGAGTAAACAAGGTTAGCACACTTTTCCGCAACCTCAGTCACCAATGTGTAGACCGTATATGGTAATCAGCCACCGAGCGACAGATGTCAACGAGCAGCGTGACAACAAAAAACTTTTTGGATAGATGGATGCCTACTCATTTTCACGAAAACTTTTCGTCCAAATGCCAGGCTTGTGTAGTGGACACTGGTGAGGAGCTGCGGTTCCCGTTGGAAGAGTGTAGCTGCATCACGTTCCAAGGAACAAATAAAAACCCGCTAACAACGCCTACTTGATTATACGAGCCTGCACTAGAATGATTGTGGTAAGAAGGGAGTGCAGTCGACTGGTAAGCGGAGGGACATATCATAAAATAGCGGCATCTACAGGCACTCGATGAAATCATACCGCGGAATGTATGTTCAGTCTGCTAAATAAGTGATCGAGTGAGCAGTTGTCCAGAAGGTCGTGCCACATGTGAGTTCGATTATCTAGCTAGGGTCGGCGGCAAGAAAATGAGTGTTATAGGGAAAAGTTGGTTTCCTCTCGACGAAGCCGAAGTTTATTGCGGTGACTGCACCGCCCTGTATGCACGCGACTGTAAGATGCGTATATGTGTTCTGGGCACAATGTGATACCGAGTGAACTTACCAAGCAAGTGTAATTGGTAGCCGGCTCAGTTACCCAAATAACCGTGACCGTGCCATCCAAACCGCCGGAGACCAGCTGCAAACAAAACAGGAAATGGAGAGTACCAAAATTTCCGAAAATATGACACCTTACATGAAAATCGTGGTTAGAAACCAAGTGTGAGCATGCTTGTTATTGTGAAAACAAGTACTTGAAGAACGGAGAAACATACCGCGACACCACATGAAATCATCGAAGTGATTGCAGCCTGAGTGCTTGCATAGTACACTTTGATTGGACGGGTTGCGGGAAGACCGTTGGTCTAAACGATTAGAAAAGCAAAAAATTAAAAATAACAAATGCAAAAAAACAGACACAATTTCGGAAGACTAACAGATCCGGGATCGAGTGACAGTCGCACAACTAACAGCAATGTTAGAAACGGATGTGTAATTCGATAGTGTAATCCAGTGTAGGAATCATGAAGTCGATGATGCGAGTTGACTCCGGTGCAGAATGAAAATTTATCAACACCACTCACTAGCATCCTGTACACACGGATACTTCCTTCGGAATCCCCGATGGCAATGAACCGTTCCATAACGCAGCAGCTAGTAATCTTCTGAGTTTGAACAGTCAACACACCGACGCCGGACTAAGGAGAAAAAGGAATTTGGAGTATTAGGCTCGCGAACTACACACGCCATGAGACAATAGCGGCAGCAGTATAGAGATCAATCTGATACGCATTCCCACGTCTGTAAACTATCAAACTGATATCTCCCCTTTGATTTCCGAATCCATGGCATTTAGGCTGATACCGTCAATAGGCTGATCAGCCTAAGTGTGCGAGCGGCGCGTGCGATGACACTTGTGGATCGGTTGATGCATGTGATCAAAGCAAGTAGGGAAAATAGATGTAACAAGTAGCTGCCCATCTTTCACTAACCTTGTACAGACGAACCTGAAAGCGCATGCACGACGCATCGAATCTCTCTAATTCGCGTCACGCACCAAAACGGTGATGGAAACAATAAGCATCAGTGGCGTAAGCTGCCCTGAATGGGACCGAGGAAATGCGCACCACTAACGAGCACCAATCGGGCGAAACGATCGTCTGGTGCGTTTGTGCGCTGCTAGGAAGAACCAGCTAAATTTTACTCATTATCCTTCTACTCATCAGTAATCTAAACATCCGCCCTCACAGTCCGCAAATGCCATGTCGTACACATTGCTATTGTGCTTTGAAAGTCGTGATTTAAAGAGGAAAATTTCACTGCAGGCCATCGAATCGGAGTATTTAGGACCGCAGAGCGGTGGGTTTAGGGCTACTCGGAAAGGCTAGACGCAACAGCCCGATCGACTCAAACGTATCGTTGAGCATATCCATTATAGAGGATGGCACACACAGGTCAGAGACACGAACTGATTAGCCATATACGATCTTCGTTGGCGGTTGAACTGTTCGCTGAGCTTGGCAATTTTGTTGCAAACGTTTCGTCACCAATCGAGGTGACATCATCAGTGCGTAGTTGAGTGGTATGCAACAGTGAAGAGTAGCGTAGCGGAGTCTCGTTACACAGCAGCCGAACCATGTCCCTCTTGTCTTTCGTTTGCAAATTGGATCTTGAGAGTGTAAGGGATATGGCAATGGACAACAAAACGTTTTGTATCAGCCTATTCAGCTGTACCTGGATGCTGTAACAGACCACAGGAAAGCAATCGATAAAAACGTCACCTCCGGGCGAATCGTTTGGTGTTGTGTGCACAGAAACAATTGATGCAATCGGTAGGATACTATTATCTTGGCTCTAATCGCAGGGTCAATGGAGTACAGCATGTGTGTATATGTTTCATGCCCCTTGCTTCATCCTGGCGAAGCATTGTATTCCAGCAACGTCATGCTGTAATTCTGGGGAGCATTGGGCCCCTGTTTGACAAAGGAACAAACGAAAGGCGTATGAACTGAGCAATCAGTCACCGGCTCCCAATGGGCGCGATTCCCTGAATTCGCTCCGCTGCCTTGCGGACAGGCTATTCAGCCAAAGGCTCGGGGTGGTGTCCCCTAAGTCAACACCCTACTTCGGCTTGGGCAACCGGGTAGTATCTCGCCCTCTGAGGAAACCATGGACATTGTTGTGTTGTGTTTTATTTTACTATTTATGTACTATTTATGTACTTTCGTTTGAATCCCATGGTTTCTGATGGCATTATGTCTATTCATAGACTTTTGCAAATATATATATATATATACATATATATATATATACGTTTCATGCATGTATTGCGTTGCTACTGAAGGCAGCAATCGAAATGTGAGCACATCACAATCCACTTCTTTTCTCTACATTGATAACATAGCATGCATAATGTGAGAACTGCAGGGACTCCCAGTGTACCCTCAGCGGGGGTCATTGATTACGCAATTCAGAGATTTAAAACGCTGAAGTATCCGCTCCCGGGACACTAGCAACATAGCTTTCCAACAGAGGCGATTAAAAGTGCAGTCTATGAAATAAATGAAGGTGAAGAATCGTGTCGATTGTTGGCAATGTGCCGGTAAACTCTCGAGCTAGACACCTCAGAGTATGCTTCACATTTGTTGCGATAATAAATCACCTCTGGGAGCTATGCAGTATGTATCATCAAGTGACCAGACAAGAGATCGGTGAGGTTACACCAGGCATTTGATGCAACAACCGGTGTCTGACCTCATCGTCATCATACCCTAGGTCGCAGTATCAAACAAACAGGAAGCGGAAGTGGTATCTAGGGGGGTGTGTTATCATGTAGCTCCATTTTTGGTAATATCACTGTCCATCATGAATCGGCCTCATGCGAACCCATGGTGATGGATACTCCCGTATCACCACTTAATCCACCGACACATTTCCTCCGGAGGATAGATTAGACGCGAATGCTACTCATACATTCATGCCAACTTGTCTTATTGGGACAGGTTGGCTGAACCGTCAAATAAAGGATGACGACCAGCGTATTTTGAAGGAGAGGGGGGAGGAAAAATTATTCAACCTTACTTTCCAGTTGTGGACGCGTAAGGCCTTCTCGGAATAGGAACAGAAATTTGATCCAGTTGGGAGTACAGTGATGCCTTCTGGTGGGCCTTTGTGAGGAGAGGATGTGATAGATTGAATCAGGCTCCCATCACTCGCAGCCCGCATTGTGAGGGAACAGTCCTGTATTGAAAAGAAAAGAGTAACGAGGCTGTCACTGGTTACTGGTTCAAGAACAACAGTACCAATAGTTCTACGAAACGAAATCTTCAACTAGGGACTGAAGACAAGGGGAAACAGCGAGAATTCAAATGAGGACTTGTAGGGAATATTTGAGTGGAACGCGTAAAGACGATCGGACTTTGCTTCGGTAAGACTATCGGAATAAAAAACGGCACAGACACCATACTCCATTCCGATGAAAGTATAAATCAATGTACAACCATAGTAGTTGTGACTAGCTGTCAGTACGATGAGGTCAAGTGACGACACCACATGAGCGGCGAATCCTGACTGTGAGTTACGTCGCATCGCCGTGGGTAGTTCTCAGAGGCCAACGGGATGGACCATAGGTCTGGTGAGAACTTTTACTATGTACATATTAGAATCAAATCGAATTGAGGCATGAAAACCTCCATCTCGAGGACATGGCAGTAGAAGTGATAATTTGAGTGCGCAACGTTCATTGAACAGAGCATACTGCCCGAATATTGATGAAAACCTATAGATCCAACAAAATGAAAAGGAACGATCCGAGCAGTATGCTCTCATCCACACGAAGTACAGAAATAAAACATCGTGATAACGAAATCGACAACCGATGCAGCGTGTGGTAGACACCTTGCGCCGGTGGTGGGGATCACCACATTAATTCGTAGTAACATCAACCAATGTGAATTTGCCGAGAGTAACGCATGACGTATTAGAATAGTAGAGCGGTTGGCGTTCGCGTAATACGCCATTAGCTGGAAAGTTTTTGACAGCCTTGAGCCTAATGAAGAATACCAAATTGAAGGTGAGATAGTAAACTCAGGAGTGCTTGTTCAGGATCAAACTGAGCCACTAATTCCGATGAACAGAAACAAATCTGTCGAGATGCATGATGCAGAAAACTAAAAAGATTTAATGAAAATATGCTAAAATTTCGTTTTTAATACTATGCAACCTCGAAGGGAGACGCCACTCACCCGCTCACCGACAAGTAAGATGAGACGTGACCCAGATCGGACTGATGCCATGGAGCTGATGCCACATACCGGGACCTTCGAACTTTGGTAGAGGACGGAGGTGGTTCGATTTGGCACATGATGCCGGAGTATGTCTCCATTGGACATGCCCAAATAAATAAAAGGAGAGTCTTGCGAAGGCAGCAAAGTCAACGCTTCGACCCGATTGGGCAGTGTCTTTTGAAACGCCATAACTCCTGACTATGGAGGGAAGAAACAATAGCGAGTAAGAAATAAATCGAGCAAAAGAAGGATCTATCGCAATTGTAGCCGCCGTCAACTAACCAACCCAAAGACTTCGATGTCTAAGCAACTTGTTAGAGCACCAGATGATACTTGAGAGAACACCGAGCAGTAATCACAACGTTATTCATATATACAACGTATCGGCAGAAAAGTAGACGTCACCATAGAAAGGATATAATTGCATGTATGAATTCTGGTAGTGAGGTTGACGACAATGGAGATTTCGTTGTATGCTTATTTGACTTGAAACGCATCAAGAAGTCCTGAGTTCAGACAGGTTATCAGACGTTATCGCCCCTGTTCGCTATAAAATTCCACACCAATTGTACACTGATTCACCTGGTCTGACGAAGCCCTTGTGTCGAGAGCGAAACGTTACCAAACTATTATACCAACCGATTGTTTCCAAACCTCTCTGAACTCATGACTACTCGATCGGTTTCAAGTATCTTCCAAGAATTTGGCATCAAGAAGTCGTTTTTAGAGCGGCTTCCATTTTGCTCGTCTTCAACATTGATACACACCACATGGGGAGTGTTGGCAATGCGTAACCTCGAAATCACCCTACCTCAGATACGTTCCTAGTGATCGGAATGAACGAGGTCCACTTTAAAACAAACGGACATCTAAAAGTGATTGCGTATCGCAATCCAACTTACACAGCGGATAGTCCAAACCCAACTTTGAAGAAGTCATTTTCTTTACGATCCATCAACGTCTTTACGAACCGATATTTAATTTACTTTAGCACTACATGCATTTTCTTGCCTGAATGCTCTCGATCTTTTGAAAATAGGCATCGAATCAACGCGAAAAACTGACGGCAATTGGTTCAGCGAATGGATAAGACGGTGGCGAGCGCTGACAGAGTTCGAGAGCAACTGCATTGGTGACCAAACAAAGACTAGCAGGACCAACGCTGACACGATGCATGGTTTGGAGATGGATCTGCTCAGTTCAGATCAATTGTTCAAATGTGACCGAGCTATGAACCGTGGTGCGATGGATACAGTTGGTTTGACTCACGTTGCCATCACAAAACAACACGAACTGGGAAACAAGGGGAAAAGGCAAAATCGAAAGGAATAAACAATGATACGAAAAGTTCCGAGTCGAGAAACGAGGGCGAAGAATGTCGCCAACTCCGTCAATGAGCAAAGTCTAGAAGGGGTTCTGTTACAGACCCCCTTTTTGGATAAATGCAATAACGTTCGCTTAGTGTCGTTTCCGTGCGTCGAGCAAACGATTGAGCAATTCGCGAAACCTAACCGCCATATAGACGATGAACGGAAACCCTGCTGAGTGACGCAAGCACGCGAGAAAGAAGTGGCCCCACGACCGCACAACGAATCAGAGAGAGAGAGAGAGAGTGTGTGTGTGTGTGAGAGAGAGACATGCCTTTCGCAAAAGCGCTTTCACTGGCTCAGCAAAAGGCGATGCAGATTGGGACACCTGCTCATGAGTTTTAGCGAGACTAGGTTGTTCACGAAAACGTACTGCGTCAATGGTTTGGAAGCTGCGCTGTGACACTGCAAGTGCAATACGGTGTAACCCTTTGATTGCCCACGCAAGTCTTGCAGTCTGTAACGCGGGTGTGTATTTTTGCACAATCACCTGATGTTCCCGTAACACCTCATGATGGTAGGTTGCGCCGTTTTCGACGAAAACTGATCTGCAGCGATTTTGGCGATCGGCCCGTCGACGAGAAGAGTTGAGACTTGGCGAATGGCCGATCAGTTTCCACCAATGTCGATTGTTCCGCTGCGATTCCGAAAGTGTCCAGGAAGATGTGCAGCAGCAGATGCAAAGGCGAACTGACTTGTGTAGATATTGTTTTGTGTCGAAGCCGGAGCTGACTGCGACAGCAGATCCACTAGTCCTCACCCATGGTGACGTCACGAAGCATGTCACATTGACAGGCCATTGCTATTGTTTGGATAGAACGTGGATGACCGGTTGGTAGTCACAAGTGTATACTGGGGCACCAACGGCGACTGATGAAGGCATCACGCTGTGTCATCGGCTCTTGGGTCGGGATAAGCGCTTCGTTGGTGGTGCGTAGCCTCCGACCTATCGATGCATCCGCGAAAGATTGACTTCTTGGAGATGCTGGACTGGGTGGTCTTGTGAGGGATCAGAAGCGCTTGAAAACATTCATCCATAATCCCCTCCCCACGAGCCTACAAGAGCGCTCCCTTGAATATGATGACGTAACGCTCCGCTTGGCTATTGGACTGAGGATGGAAAGGTTGTCAGCAGAGCTGTTGGATGCAGTAGCTGCGACAGAAATCTTCGAATATCGACAACGTAAACTGTGAATCATTGTCGGACAGTAAGACATTTTGAAGTCCATGTTGGCTGAAGATTCGCTGCAGATAGGCCAGAGTGGCGGTTGTGACAGGTAGGTTGACAGCCATGACTTCAGACGATCCAGAATGGGCGCCGACCATGACCAAATAAGAAACCTCATCGACCGGACCAGCATAATCGATGTGCATGCGGGACCAGGAACCAGCAGTACGCCAGTACACAGTAAGGACGGTTCGCTGCCGCGCAACCACCACCGGTCGCACGTGGGCTAAAGATACTGCGAGGGTCGCCCTGCCCCTACGCAGGCTCGAACCCGCGCCACCAGATTACAAGACAAGCTCGTTACCTTTAGGCTATAGGTTGTCGGGACCACTGTTTTTCTGCCGGTTGCCAAGAAAATGATGGTTGGTGCAGTAGGATCTCGGCTACTTGCTGACATTGTGAGAAACCGCGAACCACATTTTTAAATGTCCTTGGCGATGCTGAGTCAGTAGACAGCTGCGAGCAAATGCTTTCATTCTGTTCGTACCAAGGTGAGCATGCGAAGCACGGTTGCCGAAGACAGGAGAAATAGAAAATGCCACCTCGCATGGTAGTGAAATGTATGCAATCACTTTATCAAGCTCGGAGTAGTGATCAACAGGTAAACAACGACTCGATCAGCAGAAATCGACCACAGCAGCGCTGAGACCGTTATCCGCAAGTACGTCAGTTTTTGTAGTCGCGCAACGTAAATCGGCAGCAGACAGAGTTCGAGAGTTAATGACAATCATCACGACATCATTCATCGTCCACCACCGTGTCTTTTTCTGCAGCGTGTTTGGAAATGAGACGGGAGAGATTGTGAGATTGACCAAAATACTAGGTGAGGCAGCAGCGGATTTCGAAGTCATGGCCAAGGAGAACGACGACCCATCGTCTAGGTCGGCAAGTTGAGTATGCGTAGATTACTATTTTAACAACGAAGATTGACAATAATGGCTTGTGATACGACATCGTGTTGAACTTCTTGACAGCAAACGCCATGACCAAGGATTCCTTCTCAATCTGACCGTAGATCTTCTCCGCTAGTGTCGGCGTGCGTGAGATGTCCATAACGGCTTTCTCGAAACCGACTGGGAATCGATCCGATCCCGCAGTCGGAGACATAATTGGAGACTAAAATCGGCAAAGTTTGGTCGTAATGGGTCAGTAGCAGATCGGATCAATATGGATTTCAGGTGCACGAAAGCGTTCTCGCAGATGGGGGACCAATACCAAGGAACATCTTATTGTAAAAACCGACTGAGTCGGGCTCATACGTCGTGTAGTAGCTGATGACACTAAGAAAGGGCTTCTAGAATTGGCATCTGTTAAATGTCCCTGACGTTTGCCGGGCCAGGATGATGGTCATTAGCATCGAAAACGAATCTAAGGTATTAGATCGATCGAAGGGGGAATTTGCATTTTCTGCTTTCAAGCGGAATTCATACTCCTAGATCGCGACCAGACGCTCTAGAAGCTCTTTAGGTATGCGCCCAAGGATGACGAGATCGTACAAGTACGACGCCGTACCCAAAATGCCAGAGATAATCGCGCCCATCATTTGTTGGAAAAAGGTTGGGTTAGTCTTCACGCAAAACGGCAGTGTAGTGTACTAGTGGAAACCGCGGTGTGTTTGTGACTTAGAGACGACTTCGATCTGTAGATAAACATCTGCTAGGCGATTTTAGCGAAGAACATCTTACCGTTGAATAGTAAGAGGTCTGCTGGGAGTGGTAGTAGGGTAAGAGTTAGCATAAAGCGCAACAGTGACGCCAGTAGAGAAATCGTCGCAGATGCGAAGGAATCCAATCGGCTTTCTGACCATAACGATCGAGGCTGCCCAGGCGAAATAAGACACGGGTACTAGGCACCAATATCTTACAATCGCTTGGGGCGAACGTCGACAAAATGTAGGGATGCGTATGGAACAGGCTTTATGGGACCGAATACCAGTTAAGCTTCAAACGTGAGCTGAACCGTGGCACGGGTGCCGGCACAGCGACTACCGAGAATTACAGCATTCAGTAACTGAGGATAAATTTAATACTGATACAGGGAACACAAATGATGGTCACTGGTCACATGTTCGCCAGACCTTACTAGCAGTAGGCAAATCTTCATGTGGTATGTCTAATAGCCAACATGGACATTGGGTCTCTTCTCGGTCTCTAGAACTTATCGACGCTCGCCGGCATATCCCAGCTGGAAGTGAACACAATGAAACTCGCAAAGAGCTCTGGGCAAAACTCCGTGCTAGCCTGAAGAGAGACCGCGAATGTTGGTGGTCTCATCGTGCGTCAGAGATAGAAGTGGGCGCTGCCCTTGGCAACCTTCGTAAGTTATTCCGTCTGATACGGGAAACGGGCAGCAGGAGACCTGTTGTTAGTGAAACAATTTGTGATGAGAGTGGACAGCCTATCCACAGTTTGTCAAAATGTTTGGAGCGTTGGGCTGAGCATTTTGAAAAGCAATTTAATCGGCTAGAATTGTTCGATTCTTCGCCGGTCACTGATCGCCCCGCTCCGTGGGCTGTCCCCTTGGATACACTCTCTCGCTCAGAAGTCGAATGTGAGATCGGACTGTTGAAGTTGAACAAAGCCGCGGGACCAGATGATCTTCCTCCAGCTCTCTTCAAATTCGGAGGCTCTGCTCTTGTTGATGCTTTACATGAATTACTGCTGAAACTGTGGGAGCAGGAGACTGTCCCAACCGACTGGAGCCGCTCCGTTTTTGTTCCCATCTTCAAAGGCGGCTCGCGCTCGGAATGCGGCAACCATAGAGGGATCAGTTTGGTCTCCATCGCCTCCATAAATCTTCACAGACTGACTGGCGCTCGTGAAAGCCATATTCGTGAGGAGCAAGCCGGGTTTCGTCGGGGTCGTGGCTGCATCGACCACATCTTCACCTCGCGTCAGTGGTTGGAGCACCGCCACACATATTGGCGGCCCACCGTAGTCGTGTTGATCGACATTAAAGGTGCATTCGATTCGGTTGATCGATGTGTCCTTTGGAATTGTTTATCGGGAAAGGTGTGCCCGAGAAATATGTAAAAATTATCCAAGCATTATATGCGCGAAGCACGGGCTGAGTGAGGGCTTACGGCAAGCTGTCGCCACCCTTCAATATCTCTAGCGGTGTGAGACAATGATGCCCGCTGTCACCTTTCCTCTTCAACTTCGCTACTGACGAAGGCATGGAGATTGCATTTACAGGACATGACTAGGAAGGTGTGGAACTACTCCCAGGAGAACGACTTCTCGACTTGGAGTATGCAGACGACATTACCCTCATCTGTGACAGCTCCCAGACGTGCCAAGCTGCGCTGGACAGATTAGCACTGGCTGTCAGCCGCTTCGGGCTTTGCTTTGCACCATCGAAGTGCGAAGCGTTCCTCCAAGATTGGCAGGGATCGCCTTCTGCGCTAACCCTTGGCGGGGACCAGCTAGAAGTCGTTCGGAAATTCAATTACCTGGGAAGTTGTATCAGCGCCCTTGGGATCGAAGACGAGATCACGAACCGTATAGCGAAAGCTCGAAGTGATTTTGCTAGCCTTCGCCACCTATGGCGGCGGCGCGACATCGCTCTCGCCCTGAAGGGTAGAGTGTACAATGCAGCGGTACGTTCGACCTTACTGTACGGTTGAGAAAAATGGCCCCCAAGATCGGCGGACATGAAGAGGCTAGTTACGTTCGACCATCGGTGCCTTCACAGTTTGGCTCACATCTGGTGGGAATACCGCGTGAGTAACGAGTGTGTTCGACGCCTTGTTTACGGCCCAAGAAAAGGAAATGAACCGTTATTTCCCGCACCAGGCTCCGATGGCTCGGCCACGTGTTGCGCATGCCAGCCCACCGACTCCCTCGACGTGCATTGTTTGTTCACCGGAGATGTGGGTGGAAGAAGAAGAGAGGTGGCCAAGCGATGACTTGGTCCAGAGGAATGAAGTCCCTCACTTCGGAGCTAGCCTCGGTTGGAGCTTCACGGCTCTCTGGTTGGGGTCCAAAAGACGGTGAACACGTTTGGCTGGATACATTTGCTGACATGGCAAGGAGCCGACCTCAGTGGCGTTCGTGCTGTGAGTTTCTTTGTCCCTCCCCATCCCTTTTAGCCTCCCCCTCCATCTACGATCTCATTTCGTAGGGTAAAACATAACATTTTTTACCTAGTAGCTGGCTGGAAGCTTACCGGAACGATGCCTATCCGTTGCTGGTAGCTCAGCTGGCATGCAACTGTCGTATTTATTTTTCCCTTATTTATTGTATTTATGTATATATTTCCTTTATGTATTGCGGTACAATAGCGGAGGCGTTTCCCCACCTCTAGCTGACATGTGTAATGATGTTGATGATGATACAGTGAACGATTCATGGCCTTTGTCCTTGGGCTACGACTACAGTGGCTAGGATGGGAGGAGGAAGCCGACCGAAAGGCAAGTCTAGTAAGTGACATGGAGGCGATCACATGTGAACAAAAGTCCAACTGGTGGCGGAGTACTTCAAGCGTCAAGCTTGTAATCCATGAGTCACTGATTCGAACTTGAGCAAGTGCGATTAATTTCGTAGTGTCCAAACCCACATGCGCCCGTAGGTGGCTTCACTTCAATGCGGAATTCCGACGTGGTTGGGATATCTCAGATATTGCTCCGTTGAGCAGTCAGTGAGATATATTCGCCTTCAATCTCTGGTCTTTCAAGTAGACGATTAAAATTTCCACAACCAAATTGTTGAAAGTTTCGTTGTTTGCCAAACCTCATGGAAAAACAGAATTTGGCGACGTAGTGTTATGGTTAAAGGCGATGCTCGGGAATTAAGTGAACGGCATGGAACAAGCGTATTTCAATTAGTGTGGCCTAATCCCGCATGGAACGTTGAACTTATTCATCGTCACGACGGAGGCGCGAACTCTGAAGAGGCTAGATTTCGAAAGACAAGTGCAGTCAGAGCAAAGAAAAAAAGCAAATGCATGGAGCATAAACTGTGGAAACGATATACCTAGCGAAAACCGGCCCCGTATTACCTGCATGTCGTACTCAGAAAAACAATTGTCGTAGTATCCAACATAGAGGGACCGACCCTGAGACTCGAGGATCAAGCACGTCACGCTCGCATCGCGAGATGGGAAAGACTTTACGGGTTGGTGTGACTGCAACGGATAAAAACGAGCGTAAATAGGATGAAAAATGATGAAGTGGATAAAGAACGCAATGAATAAATCGAAAAGATAAGTACGCACCTTCAGAGAGTACTGCCTCAGTGAACCATTTTGACCACCAATGATCACACTATACGTGGGATTGTGCAAAGCCATGTCGATAACGGCAGCAGGACCTCCGTCAAATGCGTGGAATTCCCCGTACTTAATGCGCCCCTTCATGGTAGGTGACTGCGGTGTATTAACATCGGAATCATCCGGGTAAGATGTCTGTGTGATGAGAGGCAAAGTGATTGGTGCTCGTTGGTCCGTTATCTGGTCGATGGACTGACATGGATCGTGTTTGATTGATTTTATAACCCTATTAGCTTCTGGCGCACTGGGCTCTTGATCTGATGAGTCAGATGACGATGAGTCTTTCGGATTCTGCGGATGATTAGAGCCGGTTTGTTTGCAAGACACCTGACATGACAAGCTTCCAGAAGGAATGGGTTTAGGCGGAGCCTCAACAGTTCTGGTGTCGGTAGGTTCGCCTTTGATGAGAATTCGTGAAGCTGTAGAATAAGAATCGGAAAATAAGAGCGAAATTTACATCCAGAGTACAGTGCGGGATTTGTTTGAAAAATGTGCATGAGAAAATTCGTGAAAGACCGACTCTATTACTCATTTAATAAAATGATTAAGGCATGTGTCGATTCATCGCAAAAGCACGTTAATGGCCCGAAACAACTGTATCCATGCTGCTCACGTGGTGCTAGCAATTGGCATTGTAACAGCACAATGGGGGGCAGTATAAAAATGAGCTCGTGCTGTTCTAAGGTGTCATACTGCAACATCAGTTACGCTGGATGACGTCACTTATGAATAGAACGACCGTTATCTGAGTGTGCACGATGGTGCTCAGGCGTTATGTAGGCAGCAGTTCAGGGTGAGGAACTCAGATTATGGAAGGATAGCATGAGTCAACTAGTGAAGGAAATCGACAAGATAACAGTAGATGGTGGAACATCAGTAAAAGATGAAACAACGCGTGATAACCAGCAGCACAGTTAATCAAGAAAAGCTGTTTGGAAAACCTATGAAAATCAGCGGAAATAGAGGCCAGGAATACGAAAAATTGCGACAGCGAATTAGGCGTCCATGGCTGAGGCAAAGGGCTTAATTAATTTAAACTACTCACAAGTAGACAGACAATAACATAAAAATGGCGTCCACAGCTGTGATGACGAAACGGGACTACGTCAACGAGAATGGGTAGTAGTAGGAAAGGAAGTTATAACCGGGGCAACAGTTTATCATACGAAGCAGATTATTGGCAGGGATAAAAGTGGCCGAAAAATGGGCCGCAGTCACTAGGAATAAATGGGATCACGAATGCGACAACGTTCGGATCCAGGGATAACGCACATGGTCTAATGGGACAACGCAATCCACTGCTGGAATCAGGGTTCCGCTAAGCTACAGAAAGCTCGACAGAAAAGGTAGCAAAACTTTCTCAGTGATGTAACAACCGGAAGATACGCAACTACCAAGGTAAGCGGGTCGATCCACCACTTTTAGTAGCTGTTCTGCACCTTGAAAGTTTAAAGCACATGCCGAAGCGTGCAGCGCTACACATCAGTCTACCCATTAGTGTTTGCATACATAGCAACTGCGTAGTAAACATACTCAAGGTCTGTCAATCGGTCACGTGGCAGAAGTTCCACTTAGGAACTCTGAAATAACTAAGTCATTCATGGTCGTTTCGATCCCATAGTTGAAGAGGAAAGGAGATATGGGACAACCCTGACGAACACTAATTATTGTGGGGAACTCAGCAGACAGTTTACCGTAGAACCTTAGGTGGCTTCGGGAGTCACGAATACTGAATACTGTAGGGAAGCAACAAGAAAAGATACCTATGTGTAGTCGCATCTAAAATCCCTCAGATACACTGATCAATTGTGTTGGAGATCACTCTCGATATTTCATATTGACAAATGGTTCGTCAAGAAATTTTTTAAATTCCGACATTGACTGCTTCGAATATGTGCGGCGGCAAGCTGTTCCATATATTCACTACTCTCCATGGGGTGCAACGCTTGACCGGCAACAAGGCAGGTTCGAACGTGTCCAATACTACGTAGGATCATCGGTAGCGACTTGACCGAGTTTATCGAAAGGTTAACCTCTGTAGACCACATGGAGAGGTGGTCAAGGTCATGTGTAAGCATGTCACATCCATCCGGCGCACTGATTACTCTCCACACATTCAAAGCATCTGCAAACAACAAACAAAGCGAACGGAGAATCTAAGGCACATCGATTATGTGGAGAACGAACAAAGTGGGCCCCAGTACATTGCCTTGGTGCAAGCCAATAGTTGAGGGACAACAGTCAGTGTGATGGTTGCCGACTGAGCCATCCACTTTAGACCAACAAACAAATTCCCGATCCACTGGTGCAACAAGAGACCAACATTGCACGCCGTCAGCCTGTGGAAAACGAAACGTGATTCATCTTGTCAAATGTACTACTGAAGTCAATGTGAATGACCTCGACCGACTTCCACTGGTTCAACACTTGCAACCATTTGTGCCTCGTCACGAGCAGCGAACATAGGGAGGTTTTTCGACTCAAGAAGCCGTAGGAGACCCTTCTTCACGATTTTCTCAAGTGTCTTAACCAAAACAGTGCTCAAACAGATCGACAGGCAGTTGTCCACTTTGCTTGGGTCACCGCCTTCCGACACTGCCTTTACGAACTAGGATTTCTAGTCACTCGGTAATAAACTGGATAGCCACCTGTGGAACAGCTGTTACGCAGCGCGTGATGGTGGCGGATAATGACTCGTGGATCGGTGGGTGAATTTCGTCTGACCCGGCAGGCTTAGTCAAGACTGGTCAGCAACTTGCGTACATCTTCAATGCTATAATACAGATTGTCTAGTTAGGTACTCGTCGAACTCGGCACAGACACTTGGTCATTTGCAAATACGGAAACGAGATGCGCCGCCAATGTGGATGCCCGATCCGTGCTGGAGGCCAGAGGCTATCTATATGAGCCCTCCAACATTAGCACACTGCCTGCAGGACTCAGGCTGCGCTCCACGTAGGTAAAGATACTCTCGAGATCCATTTTTACAGCGGCTGCAAGCTGCTCTTAGAATATCTGGCACTTTCGTGTTTCCACGTTATTGCAGAGATTTCGCTGTCTCCTGTATGCCTCGTAGAGACAGACAACACGAATTTATTCCATAGCCTGCGTCGTCGCCCAGCCAGTTTGCTATACTCCATGCTGAAACAATGTTACTTAGGTGGTCAAACTTTCAGACACACGAGGCATACGAATCAGGAGCACAACGATTTTAATCTCTCTTTTATAATAGACCAATGTGCTTTAACACATGAGTTTTTTGATAACGACAGTTCAAATGGCTCGCGGCTCGAGTGAGGCCATTAAACTCTGCCTTACAGACTTCCTTATCAGCACACAGGCTCTGTTTAAATTGGTGCCTAGTGGTCCGCATAATCACATCGCGGTGTTTGCTTCTGCATTATAACAGGTTCACAGATATCCAGTGATTTTTATTATGATAATTGATGGTACCGAAAGCAGAGGCCCCCGTGTCGTGCATGACAGCTTACTGTTCGACTGAAGCTCGACAGTTTTCAAGTAATTAGAAGAAAGTCTGGTATGATGGGTATCCTGGTAGTTTTGTTTAATACAACTTGATGTAGCTTCATTTTGCAGTAGGGGGAAATGTTTAATACGCTCCCTGGGGAATTTCATGAAAAAGCTTCGCCGAATCAGGGCATACACGTGCCACAGAAACACCGACGGTCTAGGATGGAACAGCGCCGTGGGAAACTATTGACAATGTGGTCTCTTTGAGCCCATTGAAAAACGCCAATAAGCAGACCGGTATCTGAAGACCGTAATGCCAATAAACAGCCAACGCTCCGCGCCCAACTGCAGCAAATGCTCGTCAATGCTCTTACATTAATAGTCAAGCTCAAACTTATCACCAACTAGAGCTACTGAGTTCAGACGACTAAACTGCGTGTTCAGTTCCCCTGTAACTAGAACTAACAGTGTGGCAAAGCAACGTGTTGAGTTCATTGTAAAAAGCATATCTAGTAGCATCAGCTCTTCCATACATCTTGTCTATTTGTGTTGTGGCACAATAGCTGAATTGTGTTTATTACCTTCAGCTAACGTATCATAATGATTATTATTATTACTGGAACTGCGTAAAGACCGATGCAGGATGCAGCTCAAGGTTGCTGATATATTCATTTACTCCTGGTTGCACGAGGGCATGGATACTAACAGGGCAAGCAACCTTGACAAGAGAACGATTAGGGCCCTCAACAAAAGCATTTGGCTCCTACGCCTGTCCGCCAGATTGCGGACAGAATCCTCAAAGCCGGGGATATAGCAACGATTCGGTTCCATGGAAACTGACGCCATTCGATTTTCCACTCCCAAAGTGGGGGATCAGGGTAAAGAATTCACCTGACCTCTAACCACTGACCAAGCTAGTAAAAGTAGATCCCAAGTGGCCTGATGGCACAACCCAATATAGATAAATGAAACAGGTACGCAAACTGCCGAATCAGTTAAAGATCGAGTATCGTCGCGACGGTTCGGGTAGGTCTGGTTACGCTGTCTCGTAGTAGGAAACAAAGTACAACTAGGAAAATAGTTGAGCTTTAATGAACGGATCAGTTTTAGTTGAAGGATGAACAGCTGTAGCTCGTACCCTGTAAGGCGATCAGTGCACACCGCTCACTAACAAATTAGCCATATCTACGCTATACCAGAATGGCTTGAATGCAGTCGGTCACTAGAAACAAGGATTAATGCAAACGGAGTAAATATGACCACATGAATCGGAAGACGAGGCCATAAACTCACGAGTAGTTGAATGAACAGAAGCAGAAACGGGTGCACAAGCCGGCTCAACGGTCGATGCAGATGATGGTTGCTTCCCAAGGATGGACGTCTCAGACTCAACGGAACTGGCAGTGGTCACCGAGGAGGAAGCAGCTGCAGCGGCTCGAGCTGCTGTACGCAATAGCATTTGATCAACGTCCTCAAAGGTAAATTGCCAACAATCCGGTGACTGCAAAGCTTGTCGGATCAGTGCAAGGCGTTGGAGGTCCAACGCGTCAGTTGCGGGTTGGGGAAGAAGTCCAGATGTCTCGGGAAGCAGCGTTTGTGCGACGTGCAATGCGTCGACAGAAACAGATGCCCTAGATGGAGCCATCGTAGAAGGCTTTGGTCCCAAAATTGAAACTATGTGGGAATGATAAATGCGCCGAAAATCGAGTAGGTTGACATAGTAGCAGAAAAACCCGACAAGGCAATAGGCAACGAAAGAACGTGGTTAAAAAAACATACGGTCAGCAGTGTATCAGAAGAAAAGCTAGAATCAAAATCTAAAAAAGCGATAGAAAAATCAGCATCGGATGGCATAAACAGAATGAATATGAATGTTTACGAAGTGGACAGGGTCAGTAAGAAGTATACAAGCGTCTTACGAAGCAGAAAACCTTGTGAGAAAAGATGACAAGTGGGCTATTTGTCCCACAACCTGGAACGACATTTCGACTAGTGATTGCAATCGCTAATCAATCCTTTCACAACTAGAAACTATATCCCATATCAATATTGTGCTAATATAATTGATCGGATAAAACGCTGTCATGAAAATATACGAATTGACTATCGTCATGGTCAAACAACTGTGTCGTCATTCGGTTGCTAAGCAACCGAATAGTTTTGGACAAATACAACGGACGAGTGAAAACAAAGTTCCCCTGATCATAACAACTTTACATGGTAGGTAGAGAAAAAGAACTTAATTCGATACGAAAGACGCAGACGCTTTCATCCAGCGCACAAACACTGTCTAAAGAATATGTGCGGAAACACAGTGGACGACGCGATGCAAATAAACGCGTCATCATTCTCTTGCACACAGCTGAAGAAAAGTCAGCAGGGGTTTTCTAGCGCTCATAACAAAAACATGCAGAGCGACCAGTCGTTCCGAAGGTAGACGTAAGGCATTGTAGTTAAGTTCAATTCAATAAGTTAACTAACCATGATCAGGAGCAAGGAACTGCGGTGAAAAAAACGTGTCAGCTGTACGCCGTAACAGCGCTTCGCTGTCGTGCAGACCAACACCAGTCGCACGCTGGCTGAGTGTACCGCGAAGACGCCCACCCCTACACGGATTCGAACCCGCGCCGCAAGATCACGAGACAAGCTCGTTACCTCTAGGCTACGAGCAGACACTGCGGTGAAGCCAGTAGCAACGATGCGAGCCGCCAGGATAACAACAACAACTAACGATGGTGAGAAAATATGACGTAGAATGCGAAACAAAGGGGGATGGGAAAACGTAGAAATTTTTTTAGATGGAATAATCAAACCTGGATGCAAGAAAGCGACTAAAGGGTCGCATTGACTTCGCGATTGCACCACATGAGAAAACGTCGCACTGACTGATGCAGCAGTTAATCCTGAAGCCCCTATCCACGACGGCATTATGAAGTCATTCGGTAAATTTCTTCGTATTTTTCTACTACGTCATCCACTGGCCACTTCGCGGTTTCGCCCAACAGGGAGTAACGATAGAATAAGACGCATGTTGCGGTAGGCGGTCAACAGGTACAGATAGGATATGGTGCTACCAGAGTAAACGGTTCCAATTGCGTAAACAACCCGGTGAAGAACCAGTGGGTTCATTTTCGGGTGTTGGGGCACTCGCCGTTTGTCTCGGATTGCGACACGTAATCTCACTCGTGGCCTCAGTTGACTTTGAAGTCAGTCTGGGACTGTCAACGAAGTGGAGGGTTTCGGTGTGGCTCTCTTCTATCCCTGCAATCCACAACCGACGGTTTCGTCTTGGTTTAGACTCATCACGTAGAGATAGCTGAGCTTGGAGTAGAACTCGGCGCATAGTGCTTGGCGACTATCGCCATGATCAGTAGGCTATTGAGCTCCGCGAGCAATGCTTGACGAAACCGTCGGTAGTGGAATGCACGGATGGGAGAGAGCCACACCGAAACCAGTGGGTTTCTTTTCACACACGAATCTACTAATGCTGATGCCTTGGTGGCCTATCTGGAAAACCGAAGAATTACTGCTCTGGAGCAGCACCAAGAATTTAATAATAGCTCAGAGTACTTGAAATGAATCACCCGATATAGAAAACATTGATGTGATATACCTAGACTCTGCATTTGATCGTCTAGATCATCGCGTGTTCCATTCCAAATTCAAGTCCGTGAGTCTCTATTGAGATGGATTGTCAAGTTCCCCTTCAGCCGCAATTGTGAGAAAAGTTCTTTGACTGACCTAGCACAAGTCGTGTGGTGTGTCTAAAGACTCAGTTTTATGGCAACGATTCCTACTGCTATATATCAGTGATCTGGCACACACAATATGTCCAAATTTCCTTCCCTTTGCCGAAGACATCAAGGTATACCGAAGGATTTAGATGAATACCAACTGGCGTTTGCATCGACATAAGCAATTGAAAGGCGCTCCCCATACGACACCAGAATATCTACACCTACAAACTCGGAAGGCAAGTACAGCAACGATCTTGGGTTGTTACAGGTAATTCGAAAAGGCGTGGAACGCTGGTAACCAACACGTCGGACTGTTGATATGGGCGTTCGGGCATACATATATTCTACTTTCCGACACATGTTTAGTGTTTATGTTCAATTTCATGTTGAATACGTAATCATGGCAACCATGAATAAACCGCGATCGCACTACTCTGCAGCGGCCTCAATGTAGGGGTTCCAAGTATACGCTATTGGAACGCGCAATCCCGAAGGAGCAAGGACTGAAACATTTGAATGTACTCAGCGGACGTTATCGCCGATTACCACACGACCTGACAATGACCTACTTGATTTTGCACCGCTGCTTACGGCAACTCAGAGAAGTGTCCTTGGGCCGCTACTGTTCTTAATCTATGTCAACGACATTTTTGACGTGGTAAAAGTCGGTACACCATACCTGTTTGCCGATGACATCAAAGTCGTACACACTTTCAGTTCGGCAATGATCCAACGCGACCTCCATGCACTTGAAACTTGGTACTCAGAGTGGAAAATGTCTCTCCAGTGACAAATGTACAATGTCCCACAAATGCGGCCTGACTGTTGAGGGCAAACCACAATCTATGCCCTAAGGTTAGAGACCCGGGATTGCGATATCGATGCTCAATTGACTTCTATGAGCAAGTCGGATATGCCACCGCGGGAGCAAGACAAAATATGGCATGGTATTCAGGACTGCTTCCCTACACGAACCAATACTTCTTACAAATCAGTTGTTCGACCCACGTTGGAATATTGTTCAATGGTGTATGGTAGCTCAAAAAAGCGCGATCGCATTAAACTGGAACAAGTACAGATAGCATACACGAAGCGCCTCCTTGGTACTTCTTCAAAACTGGAATATTCTGATTGATGTGATAAGCTCAATCTTGACTCGCTCTGGCTACGGCGCATGAAGCACAACCAACCATATTCTTCAAAAGCTTACACAGAAAAATACATGTTTCCAACCTCAACATGACATTAATGCAATCAGCAGTCTACAACACACGAAACAAACAGAACTCAGTGGCGGAACGCAAGTCCAGGACCAGCAGGTCTGCGAACTTTTTCCTCAACAGGTACGCCAGTAGTAGTAATAATAATTTCAACAGTCTAGTAAATAAACAAAGAGCCTGCAAAAGCGGTGAAAGGAGGAGCATAGTCGCCGCGTCACAATCATTGGGGCACATAGATGAAGGTGAGCAACACATTTCAGCTACTGTGCCACAGGAAGAAAGGAACATCTGACAAAGATAGAACAAAACATTTTCAGTTTGTTTTGCACACGCCAATTTTTCTATTTATTGCCATTTTTAATGTTTGAAATATTAAACATGTGGATCAACACAATTCTGTACACAATCCTTCCACTGATTCCGGTTGTGGGCCATGTCTTCAAGCGTGTTAAACCAATGGCACTCCTCATCCTTGGGTCCCTATCCTGGAAGACGCACGGGTCCAAGGGCAGCTAGAGGCGACGTCAGCGATTTCATGTGCTGTCGCCAAGTGGAAGGCTGACCAACACTTAGTCGCCTCTAGCCAGGTCCTTGACGAGCGAATAAAGTGCGACGCGCTAGACGCTTAGGTGCCAAGCGTAGGACATGATCGAAGCATCTCAACTGCCGCAGCACAACCAGTTTGTTGAAGGGAATATTCGCATTTCCCAAGATGCGACATCGAAGGTTATTACTGTTAACCCGATGTTGCCACTGAACACTAGCGATCCTCCTTAAGCAAACGTTATCGAAGGGAGAAAAACGACGCATGTCTGCCACGCGAACTGGCCAGGACTAGCTCCCATACAACAATACTGAACAAACAGATGCACTGTAAACACGGCTCCTTAGCGGGAATTAGACGTCGCGACGACGCCACAAGTGCCTCAGATTGACAAATGCTGCTCGGGGCTTTAGCGATGCGAAGTGAAACTTCCTCGCTGATAGTGCCATCAGCTATCAAGGTAAACAAAACTATCTGCCTTTTCAAGTTGTGCACGTTCAGGAGTGAGCACGGGAGCAGGTGTAGGCCAATCCTGGAGCAGCACTTTACACTTCGATGGGGTGAAGCTCATGCCATACTTAGATGCTTCAATCGCCAAACGATCCAGAATGAGTTGCGTACCCTGATGATCGCCACTAAGTAAGGCGATACCATCATACTCTAAGTCGGTCGCGCGCTCCCCTGGTAAAATCTCTAAGCCTTCCAAAACACCCGATAAAACGTATTCGATTGCGAAGTTGAAGAGGAATGAGGACAGAGCAGCCCGGTTGCATACCGCTATCGACAGCGAATGGCGAAGACTGCTTGCTGTAGACCATCACTCTGCCGGAGGTATGAAGGTAAAATGCACATAAGATGATGATATACTTCTCCGGCACCCCGTTCTTCAGCAAGCAACGCCATAAAGCAGGTCGACCAACGGAGTCAAATGCAGCATGCATGTCTAGTAATGCAACAGTATTGGGTCTATGATAAATGTGGCGATGTTTGAGGATTCGAAGGAGAGTGAAGATTTGACCCACACATCCGAGGCCGGGACGGAAACCAGCTTGTTCTTCACGGTTCACATATGAGGGTAGTCTACGAAGCGGTATGGATGCCAATAGCTTGAAAGCAACATAAATAAGATTAATCCCGCGATGATGTACACATGAATTGCGAGCCCCCTTCTTGAAAATCAGGACAATAACTGATTCGCCCCAAGATGTACTTTCTCTTCATGCCAGATTTTCGCGAACAACGAGGTCAGGTGGTCAATGACCACCGTACCTGAACAGATCCGGAGTCCGTCTGAGCCGGCAGCGCTGAACCGCTTCAAGCGTCAAATCTCGAGGCAGACTTTCATTCCGCTGGGTAGATTCAGTGGGACGAGCCAGGGCAGACAACAAGGTGTACTGCATGTACTGAAGGACTGTGGTAGGCAGTGGAATTGCGAGTGAAAGTGCTCGGCCCAGCGGCCTAAACGTCACTTGGTTTGTGATCGGAGGCTCATCCGCCTTGCAAATAACCACACTAACACCAGGCTTCCTGAGGCCAGTGGACCGAATGAGTTGGAAAAGCTTGCGTGTTAACAGAACAAGTCGCGGTCTCTATATCTAAAACACGCGCAGAACGCCATGCTTAGCGGTCCTTGCGTAGGCTTTCCTTGAACAGCAGGTTGGCAGAACGGCACCGCTCGGTGCAATCTGATTCCACCGGGATATCTTTGTGGCGGTCCAGAGAGCGAGCGGAAATCCAAGCCTTTAAGAGGCGTCTTGCCAGGTACGCAAGAGTCTAGAACAATCAACCACCGGAAACACATGCTTGCACTCTTGAACGCGATTTCTAAAATAAACATCAGTAAGTTGGTGTCTGTAGGTAACGTGAGCACAGTGTTTGATTGTTCCATAACAGCAAGCCAAAGTGACGAGCAAGGTCTATGTTTTATATGAACTATTGAATGTTTTACCATCATACCATCTCACGTGGTTCAACCGCTTTAGATGTGAGAGAACAGTTAAAAGCCAGTCAACATAATTTTAACTCAATAAACCATATATTATCTATTCTTTGTCATCCCAATCGTCCTTATCTGATTTGATATGCAATTTTCCTGATTCACCAGTGAGCAGCGTTCTATAAAGTATGCACATATCCAATTATGCCGATATTGGTGTGTCTCGCATTGTCGCGAATAAAAGTTTATTTATTTATAACATTAACTTAAAAGGTCATGCCTGAAACTGGCAGAATAGTACAACCTCCCAGAATGCCACAAGAACGTTGCTTTTATCCAAGGAACACTCCTTCCGGATCAATCGTTTCTGCACCTCCACTAGCCATATTTCAAAGGCGTCGGATGACACACGGCTACTTACATGCGGTTACGCAGCACTAACTCTCCGTTTTACCCCTGGATTTATTATTTTCACTTACTGATGTTGCGAGACTACGCGCAGTGCATCATAAGTCCTTCTTCTAACAGAAAATGTATTGATAATATTTTCGCTTAACGTTTTTCAATAACCCGAAGTGATAACCCAACGTGGCTTGTATTGCAGCGCTAACAAATCGGGATAACATCATAGTTCACTGTTCAGATTCCAAACCTGATTGGTACTGTAGTTGACACGGCGCATGTTTGGGATCTATCCACTAAGACAAACATAGGCGGATGACCGCTGGACACCTAGCTGGCCAGTTACTGAAACCGAACCGGCGAGGAGCATCAGGCTCAACACGTGGCTCCATTGTAAAAATAGCCAGTTCAATTCAACTAGGTCTAGGACGAGGATATTCACTATTTGACAGCAACAGCATGCACCGATCCCAAACGATCCAAATGTTCACCAAGTGTGTGCATATAAATTTGGAGCTTGGTCTCTGGATGGTGTTCCGGTTGTGGGGCAGTGTCAAGCAGACTCCCATACCCATACGTCTCACATGTGTAGTTCAATATAGCATCTTTCCTGGTCCGTGCGGATGTTGTGAACCATGCTATCCGCGGTCCTTTAGTAGGCGCAAATGTCGTGTGTGTGTTCTCTGGGACAGACAAATCAGGGGCGACAAATGTCAGTAACTAGTTCCTAATCCGTGAGTGTCGCGAAGTTGGCCATACCGAGAGAACAAATGAAACAAGGGAATTCATTGAAAACAGTGCGTCGCAATTGCTCACCTGCGGTATGCGGTGCCGCAATCCCACTTGAAACGGGTGCTAACGGAGGAGGAAGTGGAGGGGGAAGCAGCGCGTTTACAGCCACAGCAATTGCGGATGAGGATGGAGTGATAACCGGGTCAGTAGGTCCACTTGCACGACCTGTGAAAGCCACGGGAGCGACAGACGCTACTTGTTTCTCCGAGGATGTGATTGATGTCGACAGAGTATCCGGATTAGATGGGACTCTGTCATCTGTAGGCTCGTCATCCGACTCAGAATTAGCCAAACCTATGGAACAATGACGAAGCAAGTTAGGAAGTGGCACATGCACCGGAAGTAAGCATAAACCATATGATTAACATACTAATAACTTACCACGAAGAATTGACATTCTACGTAATTTCAAGGTGCGTTTTTCGGATCTAACCTGAAATGAGAAAGTATCCAAATGGGAGGTCAAGGTAGAAGTGAGAACAGACGTCCCAGTGACAAAAGAGTAGACAGATTCGGTGAGTGTGGATGTACGAGAGACAGCCGCTGCGTTTGGCAAGCGAAGTAAGAGACAACTTTCCTGGACTAAAAAGAGAGAGACTAAATTGTGCCAATGCCGAGAATCGGTGTGAGCACCACTTCCACGAACACAAACCACAGTATGTGGCACCGTTATCTGAATTCACTAATTCGACTGTAGCTAAGGATGAAGCCTGGATCCATTCCACACAATTCCATGTCGCTAGAATGAAACGAGACCGAGTATTCTAAACCATGAACTCACATCGTTGCACAAAGAGAATGCACTGCGATTGTCCTGTTACTAAAAACGGCGAAGCAGCAATTTGATGAACGGTTTAGAATGAGTAAACAATGATTTACAAGTAGCACGGTTTGGTAAAACCCGGGCAGGGACGCAAGTGAATGAAAAAATGAGGAACAACAAAACCAGCACCGTCAGATGCCGACGAGTGAGGAGATACATACACCATGGAATGCAACCCCTTGGTGGACACATGCATGCACGCTGTGAAATAGTAAAAATCGCGCTGTAGCATGATCTCGTGGTGCAAAATTGTAGATTCGTTTACCAAAGCAATATGTAGCGAAAGAGAAGTCCGCGTGAGATGGAACCTCATGTTTTCAGGCATTGACGCTAGCATACTGGATCACGTTAGAACCAAGTTCGTCGTAAAAGGTGGCAATGTGTGCAAAATAGAGAAAATGCAGATGATCATGACGTGTTTCTTTATCACCTCATGTCACTCGTTCTGTTATCGTTGCGTGCGATTTTGTTATCGATGTAGTCAAATACGGGGGCGGTACTTTCGGTGATAAAAAGAGGCATTGTGACCATAAACGTCTTGGTGAATACACATGGTGGAAGTGACTGCGATTTGATCGGACTTGGTACACCTGTACCACTTGCGCAAGCCACAAGAGCAATCAACGCCACATGTATCGCAGATGGTGGGTAGTTTCGTGACCCTACATCCAAAAGGGTTTCGACCAATGATTTGGCGGATTTAAAGAGTCATCAAGAACTGCGGTATGCATGAGCCCAGCCCAGCTTTTCGACCATATTCTCAACGTTCTATCGCAAGTTCAGTGATGGGGTACCTCAAGATTTCAAAAAACTAAGTGTAATATTGTTAGTACCTCAAGCGGAAGAAGACTGTGTGCAGGAAAGTGGGGCGCATGACCTGTGCAGCGCAAACCTTCTCCGATACTCACATGTGTGGTTCTAAGCGCGAAGTGACTGATTTTGAAGTCATTCGTACGTTACGCCCACCAGATGCAAACAATAATTAGTGACATAACATCGACGTATATATTTAGGCGAAAAGAAACATATCGCTGAGATGTCTCGTTAGTTTGGTCTTCGCGAAATTCACTGGACTTTGTACTGACTGGCTCCAAGTCACTGCGATTTTCGTCTCAGTGCAGTGTGTAGCACGCGGCGCGTGTAATCCTTGGCCGCGTGTCAAAACACGGCCAAGAGATACGCCATCGATAGTTCACGCAAACGCACCAATGTGCAGTAATGCATTCAGTTGCTCATCCAGAAACAACAATTACTTGTTAAGTTCCGTCTGAGTGTGTAGGGCAGGTAGCTGAACAGCCGGGGTGCTCCAATCAGCATCCGAGAGCCGCTTTCGAGGCTTGCATTGGTCTTCGTTGACACCATGTTTCTGAGGTCAGGCCTTCAGTGACATGATCCTCCTCAATATACATTGTTGGTGCACTTCCATAAAATATGACCTTTATTACTTGAGACAACTCGACTCAGTTAAAAATTATGACGAACCTCCTGTCCCGCACACGAACATCAGCCAACCAGAGCCCATTGATTACATCCGCCATAACTGTCTCCCATCAGTTGTCTAGCTCGTTTCTTCTATCCATCTTTTCACTAATAGGCATACCACATCACACACAATTCTCACGAATGTGTGCTGCAACTTCTTTGGGACGTGATTATCCGAATTAAAACAAGTAACTAAATAAGCAGACCGAACGGCCAATTCGAGCGATTATTCGGTTACGGTAAGAACTGGTCTTGCGTCGACCCACACTCGTTGCGAAACTTCATAATTTAAAAATGTTGTACACCTGTCAAAGCATATAACCTCACCCAGAGCTCGATCCTATATCATGAGAACGATATCGTCCGCAGGCTCTGGATTTCTAAAACATACCTGAAAAAACTTGAGACCCAGAAGAAGTCGATAGAATTATCATCCACTAACATTCTGGTCAAACAGAAAAAGAGTATAAATGTTTGCGGTGATAAGTTCGGGCAACCGCTCTCTGCAACCCATCGGTCTGCCCAGAGTAACAAAATAGGTGATACTCCCGCGCACCTTTCAGAAACGCGGCGCATTAATCAGGAGAGGTAAGCTGAACCAAACGTATTCTTCAAGTAAGAGAAGACAGGTTAAGTAAGCAACAAGTAATAAGCTGTACTGGAATCCGTTTTGATACGAATAGATGATCAATGCATCAACCGCCGCGTAGAAAGCTAACCTAGATGTCGCTTTTTGGATTCATGTGAGGCCACATACTATATGTGATGCTACCTGAGGGCAAAATGGCAAAGTTTCGATCCAAACATCTCGTAGGCAAAAAATTACAGTGTGCGTCATCTTATGATTACGAGGATGTATCTGAGTTTATACGGTCCAGCTTTTTTGGATGTGCTACTGACAATAATTACATACGGTTTAGAGAGGAGTGGCTTTTACCGATACAACTTCAGACCATTGGTATCATATATAGGGACAAAAACAAGTAAAATCGACCGAGTTTGTTACAGTTGCAAAGACAAAAAAGTGAAATGAGCCTAAATGGGTTATTTACTTGTTAGAGGGCTTGAAATGAGGCGGTTGGCCTCCGCGTCTTTCGTTTTCGATAGCGAGAGAAGCAAAAAAGCTTGGATAGTTTCTGGTAGGAGCATAAGGAGGGGTTAAACAAACGAATGCGAATTGCCTCGTGCGTGACAAGTATACAGAGCTGTCGATCTTCGATCGGTGTGGGGGAACCTTGTACACTATTCCTAAAGGCATGGTTTAGATCCAACTGATGCTCAGTGTCGACGATATTGGGAGGAACGGAGCTGCTAAAATACCCTAGCACTATCGGGATGCAACTAACGTGGGCAGTGCGTGTTGAAGCGTCTGTACAAATGCCGCGCTGTTAGACCGATACAAATCGCGCCACAAGCGCACACGAACCGATAAACAATCATGTATGCGGTCAGCATTGACAATTTGTCCTTGTTTCGTGGGCAAATGAGTGGTTTACTTGAAAACGTGCACTTTGACGCGGCTGCTGTGAAGGTCGACTTAGCTGCGACTGAAAGAATCAGTAACCGCTCAGTAGCTACATCCCCTATGGGAGGTAGCCGTATGAATACCTTTTTCTTTGCCACTGTTAACACAGGAACGGGTTTTGGCTTTTCTGGAACTTACTTGATACAAATATGTAGCGCTACGTATTCTGTATGAACGTCAGTTTAGCTTCAAGGGTGTCTTCCGAGCAGATTCGACGTGCGCTTGAGGCAAGACAGTGAAACAAGTTGCGCCTAACCTCCAAGGAAAGCAGCTCGTATATTGACCAATCGATGTTGTCTTTCTGTGGATCCATCGCTGGATGGAGCTATTTGGTCTCCTACTTAACACGACATCAAGACAAGGCAGTGGATTGTTAGTTTCCTTTGCATAAGCAAACTGTAGTGCTGCATGGACACAGTTAAAATCGTCAAGAATCTCGTCCAGGTTAACGAATTTATCCGCCACAGCAAATATATCGTGCAAGTAGTAATGGTAGCGGTCAGAAGTATTTGTCTCCAACTGTATTTTGGATCACTCTTTAGCTTTGCCATGATATCTGCAGCATCTGGCCAATGGAAGATCTCATTGCCATGCGCTCCTTCTGTCGGAAGAACTTAGAATAGGAATTGCACATTCCAGGTGCAGTGCAACAATAGGCGTTTTAGCTCACACGTAGGAATACATTTTTATTTTCGACTCACTTACATAGTCGCCAATATGATCTATTGTCTCAATCAGCGAAACAGTGAAACATTAAAGGAGAGCATTGTTTTCACACTACTTTTGGGCTCTTCTATGCTCTAGACAAGCTGGAATATGTCACGTAGGCTGGAAGTCGCACTAGATCAAAATTCCTAAAAAGAGTGCGCGGGCGCATGGCAGGGCGTGGACGATCGACAAAATAGTGCGGAGCAGGGATGTTGACTCCGTGAGTTTTTGGTAAGTCATAAAGCTTTTGAACATCTGTGCCACTCTGTTTAACACAATCACACTCCTTAGTCCGAAGTTCTTGCAAGCTCTTAGTGATCCGCATCTTAATTTATTCCGTGAGGCCCATTTCCCGTGTTGCGAGAACAATTTGTCTTAATGCTCAGTTTTATTGTTAATTGATCCATATATTTTTTTCTGTCTAGCAGCACAATTCCAGCACCCTTGTCCGGTCTGCACAGGGTGACCTTACTGCCCTTTAGTTCCTTAAGCGCATCTAGGTGCTTTCGTGTTAGCAGGCCATGATTACGGACGTGATGTTTACGATACTGGTAGCAACAATGCATTAAAAAACAATGAAAACGTTCCAGATCCATATTCGATTTGGCGACTATATATAAGCGATCTAATGGTAGCTCATAATCGAGTTGGTCATCCCCGCGTCTAGGAGCGCAAAATTTACAGTTGTGTACATAACTATCTGGCCTGTGGAAACGTAGCTTGTTGTTTCAGCTGGTTCACAGAATTTGTTAGAGAAACATCTTCCTCGACCTGGGCAACCGGGAAGCTGTATGCCCATACAACACATGAAATGATGGATTTACAACTCTCTGCTCACGTTTCTTGCTCTCTGAACCCTCTCATTGGCCAGGGTGCTGGCGGCCGGGCATGCCAA